CAAAAGTTTTAAACAAGCAAGCAAACAAACAAATAAATGATAAAATTGCATAGAAAGGGCAAAGTGAGACAAAGTTAACATAGAAACAGAAACAGAGCGAGTCAGAAGGGGTCTCCCGGGCCATCTAGTCTGACCCCCGGCTCCAGCTGCCTCCACTCACGACATGCCCACCATGTACATGTCCAGCCTGTCCTTGAACACCTGCACTGATGGGGCCTCAACCACCTCCCATGGAAGCCCATTGCACACCCTTGTGGTCATAACTGTCAGGAAGTGCTTCCTGGCATCCAAATTGAACCTTGGCTCCCTGAGCTTTGCTCTGTTGGGGCGCGTCCTGCCTTCCTCTGCAGGGGAGAACAGGTCTCTCCCCACCTCCATGTGACACCCCCTCACTTACCTGTATGTCGCCAACAGATCCCCTCTGAGTCTCCTCTTCTCCAGGCTGAAGAGACCCCGTTCCCTCAGTCTCGCCTCATACGGCATCCCCTGTAAACGGCCACCAACCTTGTGGCCCTGCGCTGCACTGACTCCAACCTGGCTATAGCCTTCCTGTAATGAGGGGCCCAAAACTGAACACAATACTCCAGTTGCGGGCGCACCAGAGTTGTGTAGAGTGGCAGGAACACATCTCTCGATCTAGAAGCCACACTTCTGGCTATGCAACCACGGGTGGCGTTCGCCCTCTTGGCCACCACATCGCACTGCTGGTTCATGTTCAGCCTGCAGTCGACCAGCACCCCGAGGTCCCTTTCACAAGTGCTGCTCTCCAGCCTCTTGTCCCCTAACCTGTACTTAACTGTGGAGACTGTCTCCATATGACCACCAAAGAAGGTTGCCTTTCAGAATGGCTGCTGAAATGCACTGCAATGGACTCAGGAAAAAAGCTAAAAAAAAGAGCGCTGCTCAGACATGAGGTTGCTCTCCCCTAGCGTACCACCATTCCCACATACACCCAGTAAGAGCGCCTGTGCTTAGGACAGCCTCATGACAGGCAGAAAATCATCAGGGGCAGCTTTCCCAATTATTGTGATTCCATTCCCAGAAAAGTTGTAACCTCTGAATCTCCGAAAAACACACAGTTGCTAAAGGCTCAGGATCCATCCCAGGAAAAAGAGGTGGGGAAGGAGGAGGTCTAATTATTTCCATTCCATGATAGTCTCTTAGCCAGAAGTAAATACTGAGGTCGCATTGAGTGCTCCACTGAGTTCAGGAATATGTGCATCCAACTGCAGCCTGTTTCTTACTGAACTTTCGGGTCACCCAGAAGCATGAATGGTTGCTGCTGATTTTTTTTTAAGTAAATTTTTATTATTTTCTACAAACTAAAAAAAAAGAAACTAAAAAATATCAATCATCAGAAACATCGGACCTGCTGGATCAGCCCCCCATTTTTTTATATAGCAATCCGTAAATATATTCAAATCTATGCATAGTCCCATTTCTCTATCCAATGATAAAAAGAGTTCCAAGTTTGATAGAAGTATGTATCCTCTTTCTCCTTCGGAGACAAAGTCAGTCTGTCCATTTCAGCGCAATCCAAAATCTTTTTTAAAATCAGTTCATCAGTGGGTGGTTCTTCACTCCTCCAATGTTGGGCAAATGCAATCCTTGCCACAGTAATTACATGTAAATTCAAATACATTGCTTGTTTAGCAACATCATCAGGCACTATGCCTAGTAAGAAGACTTTAAGTTTAAATATTAAAGATTTTTGTAACATTTCCTCAAGCCATTTATGAATTTTAGCCCATTAGTTTTTTGCCTTATCACAAGTCCACCACATATGATAGAAGGTACCCGGTTTATGTTTGCGTTTCCAACATCCATTTGACATATTTGAAAACATCTTTGCTAATCTATTTGGCGATAGATACCATCTATAAAACATTATATAGAGATTTTCTTTATATGAGGTTGCTCCAGTTACCTTGATATTTCTTTCCCACAACTTTTGCCATTTCTGTAACTCAATATTATATCCAAAATTTTGTGCCCACGTTATCATAGTTTCCTTAACTTGTTCATCTTCCATTCTCATATCCAAAAGAAAAGTATACAGTCTTTTAATCATTTTCTCATCCGATTTTACAATCACTTGGTCAAATGTTAACTCCTTATGAAAACCCCACATTTTATCATCTTTCTGCAGTTTGTTGATTTCATTTTTACCTGTCTTTCTACCCAAAAGTGGCACAAACTGGTGTGCCAAGAGCTTCTGGTACCCAGTGCATTTATTGCACACTTCCGATTCCTCACTTGCAGAGCTTGTGGGTCATTTACAAAACGTTTCAGATGGAGGAAAATAAGGTACTATCTGGAAATCATGCTCTGAAAAGCTGGTGTGCTTTCGCAATTCTGGAGCGCCACCCTGTGCTTAATGGGATGTATAGAATGCAGAAAAGGGACGCAGGGGAACTAGGAAAATGGTAGGTTAAAAGCAGAAAAATCCTGATTCTTTCCCGCTCTCTTTGCTGCTGCTTTAAGTGGCTGCCCATGCACAGAGGCCCTTTGCTCCAACAGCCCTGCGGAGAGGGAAAAATGAAGCAGCAGCAAAGGACAACGCTTTCCGCTCACTGATGCTTTGCTTTTGGGAGGGAATGAGAAGGAGCCCCTGTTCGTGGGAGTGGAGGACACCAGCCCGAGGAAGGCCGATGGTGCCGCCCGGAGAAGCTAGGACTGTGCTGGGAGGCTTCTATCGAGAGTGCCTCTATCAAGAGCGGGCTCTCTGCATGTGCTCAGGTGCCTCTTCCTCGCTTCACACTCTATCTCGGCCCAGTTTATGGTGGATCCCTTCCTTTCAAAACAGGCATCGTCATTCATTAAAAAACCAACAAATCATGCCCCGGACTCAAGTTTTTAAATCCATTGTAATGTCATTTTAATAAAAATACTGTCATAAATAAAATGGAGTTAAGCATGTATATCGTTATTTGTGGGATTTATTCATTGGATGTATTGGATGCTATGCTTTATATTGTTGGGGAAATTTGGGTAAATCCTGTCTGAAAAGCATTACTCCTGTGTGCCTTTGCATTGTGGGATCAAATCCTGTCTTCCTTCTCAAAACCAAGCTGTCACTGTTTAAAATGGCATTGGTAATTGTCAGAATCCCGGAATCTCAATTTGAGAAGAGGGAATAAAACTCGGGTTCGTGGGAAAGACCAAGCGTCCAGACCATCTGAGGCTTTATTGTTTTACCCCAAGGTTCCAGTGGTACTCACGATCATGCATGCATTACCAGGCAAGCAGAGATGAACTCAGCTGCAAAGCTTCAATACCATTACAGGGCATTTATAGCTACACAGGTACAGGGCAATTGATGACAGAATGCAGAGATTACAATAAGATTCTGAGGTCATCACATGCAGAACAGATAAAGAAATGTCAGTCAAGCACACTGTAACAATGAGATCACAATATTTCTAATTGCATTGTATTGACACTTTAGTTGAGTAACTTGAACCCATCTCCAGGTCTGCTCAGACATGCAAATTCAAGCTACTAGAAACTACTCATGATAAGCTCAGACCCCCATCTCGACTCTAAACATTCTGCATGATCAGGGCACATGAAGCCCTCTGGGCTATCAAAAGATTATTGTAAACTGAATTCCAACAATGACTATTTACAATGGATATTTGGGCTAAAATGGCCTGTCTGCTGTAGCCCACAGCTAAAGGCAAGAGAAAGGAGCCCGGGAATGCCATTTTAAACAGTGACAGCTTGGTTTTGAGAGGGAAGACAGGATTTGATCCCACAATGCAAAGGCACACAGGAGTAATGCTTTTCAGACAGGATTTACCCAAATTTTCCCAACAATTTTAAGCTGTTTTAATTGCAAGACTGTCCTGAAACTGTTGTAGTCGGGTGGCAGAGAAAAGCCTTAAATAAATAACATTTATTTAAAACATTTGTATGCTGCCTACTGTGTCACAGCACCTCTGGGCGGCTCACAGGCATAAGATAAAAAACACACAAAAACTAATAACAACGATTAAAAATACTTCTATATCTGTGAATACACAGTCTGTGTAAGATAGTTCCTGGGAAGCACCCAGGCAGCTTCAGCTATTGGGAGGTATAGAAAATAAAATAAAAATAACAAGCAGCGTATTGGACTGGGAGTTGGGAGATGCAACTCTTCGGGCTCATGCTCACCCATGAAGCCACTAGGTGATCCTGGGGCAGTCCATGAAGCTCAGCTGGACCTACCTCACAGGGTTGTTGTGAGGATAAAAATAAAGAGGAAGGGGGAATGCTGTAAACTGCCGAAGGTTCTCTGCACGAAAAAGGTGGGATATTTATTTACTTATTTAAAACTTTTTATACCGTCCACTGCCGAGGACTTGGGACGGTTTGACAGTACATCAGTATAAAACAAAATAAAAACATATCAATGCATAAATACATATATATAAATATACATATTCATTTTATGTATTTATACATATGTACAAATGAATATATGTATGTGTATAATACATAAATGTGTATGCATTGGATATAAATACAACCAATATATTATATCTGTATTTATATCAATACCGATATTTATGCGTGTGTTTAAGGATGGGGAGAATTTAATCTCAGAACTATCGTGCTAGACTCTAGTAGCTAGACGGGCCGTGTTTCTTAGAGGCAACATTCCGTAACGACGCTTCCGGTAGGGTCAAGACGACCGGCATGTCCCCTTGCCCCGCCCCTTTTCCTCCCACTTCCGCCCTCCTCTGCTGAAGGAGCCTGAGGAGGCGGATTGGTCGTCGAGAGTGATCACGTGGACGAGGGGGATTCGGACTGGGCAGCGCTGGCTCCGCCCCCCGAGTGTAGTGGCGCCTGCGCGCGTGTCGCTCTCCCTGCCCCTCCACATCCGGGCTCTGGGCTGGGAGCTCTTCCTGTCGGCTGCAGCTGCGAGAGCTGCTGGAGGGAGGGAGGAAGGGGGAGGAGGAGGAGGAGGAGTGGGGGGGCCTGCAGCCGAGCGTCCCCAGGGCGGGTGAGGCCCCGAAGGAAGGGTGGGGGCCGGCTGAGCCCCCCAGCCCCTCCCTTTCTTACAGCTAGGGATTAACCCCTTGGCTGCCAGGCGCCCCCCACCTCTGCCCCCCACCTGCGCGATGGGGTCTGACGCCCCCCTCTGACCGCGGAGGGCTGGGCTCCTGCCACCCTGTCCAGAAGGTGGGTATCAGCCCCCAGCCCCTCCCACTCCCTCTGGAGGTTGCCCCCACCCCACCTTCCCGCCCCATGGTGAGCCCCCCGACAAATTCTGGGCACCTGGTGGGCGTGGGGTGCTGTTCAGCTCCCTCCCTCGTGTAATTTTGGTCCGCCTTGCAATTCTGTGAGAAAGGAGGCGAAGCTGCTGTGCCCTTCGTGGAAGCAGAATGCTCCAACGTTATCCTCGCCCCAGCACTTGCAGCTGCACCTTTCTCAGGCAGTCTCTTCCTTGCCTTCCTGCTAGCAATCCAAAACTGGGTTCTTGGATACTTTGCCCAATTTCTTCCTGCAGGTTGCATTAGGGGCAGACTCCCCTCAGCTGGTTTGTGGAATGAGACCTTAGACCATGCTGGCCGCTGTGGGTTTAGTTGTGTAGAGAGAATGGGAAACAACAGGCACCTTGAATTCTTTCTCTGAGTCCTCTGTAGCTTTAGACATTTGTTCACTGGCTTGGGCACATCCACACCTGACTCTTTCCTGCTTCTGGAGAGAGCTGCAATTGTGACATCTGTGAACCACCTCTTCAGTGGCATCTTGGATTGTGACATCCTTCCTCTCCCACCTCCAGCTTCCCTTCTCTGGTATCCAAGGTCCTAGCTTTGCCCTGTCCTAAACCTGTAAGTTAGCCTGGCCTCTCTAAGCTCCATGAATATTAATATTGTTTTTTCCTCCTAAGGTAGAAATGTCTGACAGTTGCTCTGTCTTCTCTTCTCAGCCAGTAAAAACTTGGACCTTGTAGCAATGATCCCAGCCAGATCGTTATCTCCCAACTAGTACCATAATTTTGGGGGTTGTGCCTCCTGTGGAAGCTACAAAGAAATTTGGTTTGTGTCTCACTGTGGCTAAGGATTGGCACCAGCTCACCTGCAGGGACTTTGTGCTGTATCCAGAGGCACCATGGAGTTTGCTGAGCTTATCAAGACCCCAAGGGCTGACAATGTGGTCCTTCACCGCCCCTTCTATCCAGCAGTGGAGGGGACCCTGTGCCTAACGGGGCATCACCTCATCTTCTCCTCGCGACGGCAAGATAATGTTGAGGAGCTGTGGCTTCTGCATTCCAACATCGATTCCATTGAAAAACGGTGAGGATGTTTTAATTCCTTTATGGGGACAGTCTGGGGAGGGCCATGGTGCCAAAGACAGCTCAAGAAACTTGTACTTCCCTTTGAAGCTGGAATGTTTTGCTCTAAGAACAGCACTGAAGAAGCGCTGAATAAATGTTACATGTTAATCTGCCCAATAATCAGTGTTCTCTAGGCAGTTTACAATTAGTTGAAAATCTAAAATGCTTATCAATATTTAAAAATACAAAATGCAGTACAAATATCGAAAAGAATATGTGACTAGCCAAAGCAACAAACAGCCTAGGGATCAATAAAGCAGCCATAAGCAGTGCCTGGGCGAAAAGAAAGGCCGGTGCTGGTGCCAGAAAGATTATGATGTGGGCACAGGCAAACCTTTTTATTCCATAACTGGAATGCCACAATGGAAAAGCTCTTTCTGTTGTAGCCATCCATCTCCCTTCCCCTGATGGGGCACTCGGAGGAGCATCTCCAAAAATGACCAAGGTTCCTTTGGATACTCTGGTCCTGAGCTGTTCAGCACTTTGGAGGTAACAGAACTTTGAATGGGATTTGGAGATGGTCTGGAAGTATCCAAAACATCCTTACAGTCCTCCTGCAAAGCTAGTCCCACATAATTATCTCCCAAGCTCTGTGGGGAGAGGGGAGGCTTTGGCTGGCCAAATCCCACTCAATGACTTCGCACCTGTGCTCACCTTTGAATCAGAAATTGCAGGTTTCCTCAGACAGACAGCAGTTATAGGTCAGTGTCTCTCAGAAATTAATTGTGCCTCCCCATCTGCTGAACTTTGACCAAGGATGTTTGAACAAATTGTTCAGCGTCTGAATTTTAGCTCCCTCTTGCTCGGCCTCTGACATCGTGAAGAGCACTTCCCCTGGTCAGGTTGGCCAAGGGTTCATTTTGCCTTTGGTTTTATCCTGTTGCCCTCCGATGTCACGTGAAGCTGCATGGGGAGGCCTCAGCTCTGGGATGATGAGTGTGCTGGTGTTTCTCAGCGCTCTCTCTCTCCGTCAGGTGAGCTTGATTCACACATGGCTGGGCTAAACTTGGAATGGGCTGGATGAGGGCTAGAAACGGAAGCCGAATACTGACAATGCTGGAAGTAGGGGGCTTGGTCTCAAGAAATTAGTGTTTGGCTGGCTCTGGAGAGGGTGTCCCCCCCCCCCCCCCACCCCGAAAGAACAGGCGTGCTGTTTGAGAGGATGCCTTGTTCCGGCATCAGCCCGGGAGGCCTGAGCGCTCCTTTCTCAGCGTCGGATGGTTCTCCAGCTGTGGCCATTCCTTGACAGCAGTTGCTTAGTGACAGTGATCGGTGTTGCGGTGTCTTCCCAGACGGAGTGCAGGAAGGTGTTGTAATTGGCTTGCCCTTGAAGACGACTTGGAAGCATCCGTTAGTTGAATTGAATGGTCAACGGCTAGCATTATGACGGATTTAACTAGGTCCACTGGTTCTTAGAGAATTACACTGGTTGCCTGTTTGCTTTTGCACCCGGTCTAAGTTGCCTTCTGCTTCCCTTTAAAACCCTAGGCCCCTGGGACTGAAATACACAGACAAATGCCTCTTTCCATTACTTCCTTTCCAATACTTTGAGCCCTTCCAGGGAGTTCCTTCTCTGGGGACACTTGCTTGATGTCCCCAGAGCATGTATATATATGCTCTGTACGAAGAAGTGTCAGGACCTGGGGTTTCTCCTTCACACATTCAAAAGCCACAGAACTGTTTTGCAAACGTTCTCTTACGGATTTAAAAAAAAAAGGCACAAAATATTCAGGAACCATTTTCCTATCAAGGTGTTCTTTCTTGAGCAAAAGCACCGAGCACCCAGAATGAACCTCTGAGCATGCAGAGTGGTTCATCGAGCCCATTCTAGTATTCGCCTCCAGGAACTCTCCTTACGAGCAAGCCTGGGCTGCAGCACTGTTGGCGGGGCCCTCTGAAAACGGGTGAACATCCTCGCTGTGGGCCAATCCTGTAATTGGACTGCCGTACTCCGCGGGTGACGTGTGCCACCGATCAAGAGCCCTGCTCAGCCTGGCTGAATCTGAGCATCCACCCCCACGCCGGGCCCCCTCCCACCCCCTGTACATCCTGGTTCTTCGCGGAGGCCTCCTGCCCACCTGGGGAGCCTGGCCTTGAGATAGACATCTCCACTTCCTTCATCTCAGTGCCTCCTCTTGGCCCACTTCCGCAGGCTTCCCTCCACTTCTCCTGCACATTCCGATTCCTCTGAAATCCCATCAGCATTCCTGGACTGTCCAGAGCGGCCGTTTTTCTGACCCACAACAAAGAGGAACTCTGCTGCGATGGATGGGCCTCCCACTCAGGTGCAGGATGCAGCCTGACAGTCCTTCCCACACCAACTCTCAACATATTTGTGTTCCCAAAGGTTTTCCATGGTTTCTATTATCTCAGTCCTACTTGGCAGTTCTCGTGGCCGTGTTGTCTCAGTGTTTTTGTTGTTCTGGGAAGGCCAGGTGTGCTGTGTCATCTTTATTGTGCTTTAATTCGTACTCACTGCCTGGAAGGAGAAAATTGATTCCTGTACTTGCAGACATACAATTTCCATTCGCTGCCGTTTTTATTTTCTTACGTCCTCCACGCAGAACATTTCTGTTACCAGAACAAATGACAAAATTAGGGTGAGTTGGGAAATAATGAGAGATGATGAGAGATCAGCTGGTGTGGCGATGGTTCTGGATGAAGGATAAGCTTTAGTCCAACACATCTGGCAGGGAAAGGCTTGTTTCGTTTGGCCAGAAGCCCTACTTCTTCTCTGCTAGTCAGAATAAGGGTGAAGCTAAGGATTGCCATCAGGGGTCAGAGCAATTCTGAGTCCATCTAGCCCAGCAGTGTGTTCTCGCAGTGGCCAACTGGCTGCCCCCCCCCCCAAGAATGCTCAGGCAGGGCTTGAGGGCAACAGCACCCTCCCACCCATGTTCCCCAGCTGCTGTTTCTGATCCTGGGGGTTGCAGGTGCCCATCAGGACTAGTCGACATGGATAACCTCCTCCGTTTGCCCATTCCTCTTGTAAAGCCCTCCAAATGCAGACATGCCTGGAAATCAACACTTCGCAGAGGCTTCCTCCAGGTTGTCATTTCCACTTTGCATTTCCAGTCTCAAGCAAGCAGAGACGCGTGTTGGGCGGCAGTCAACTCGCAAGCGCCCCAAGCTAGTTTTCTTCCTACGAGAGAGAGAGAGAGATGGCAGTAAAATTTGGAGTGCCATCCATCTCTTCCCGCCTCCTGCTTCTCCCACCCTCTCGCTCGCTCGCTCGCTCACCACATTTCTGTCTTCTGCACTAAAGAACAGCAAGCAGTTTGGAACAGTGGTAACAGGAAACGATTAACCTGGTTCAGCCCCCCGCTCCCCCGTGCTATTTTGCAATTTCCTTGGATGAGAATAAATGGGGAACTGGCGCAGCGGAGCTTCCCCTTGTAAGGGCATCCATGGATCGCTCTCTTAAAACCTCACCAGTGCTGCTCTTACAATGTGCAGGCTTAAAGAGAAGTGACTGCCTTATGAGAGCTGGAAAGTTGCTTGCGGGGGCCGGGTGACCTGGGTGAAGGCTACGTTTAGTGTGTGTTCACTTCCACTTTCTTTGCTAGTTCCATCTTCCAAATGCCAGGGTCACTAAAAGTTGTTAAACTAAATGCACGGCCTTGAAAACAACACGTAAATTGAATGTACCCCACATGATCCTAGCTGCTTAATGCCATCCCTTGCAGGAAAATTGGGTTTTTTGATGTTCCTTGCTGGAAAGTGTTTGGGGACACGAGTGCCACAGGTTGGCACCGCTGCTCTTGCTGTGCAGACTTGGGGTGCAGATGGAGGACTCGAAATGGGATCACAAAGTGAGAAGGTGCTTTTTGAGGCGGGCTTTCCAAACTCGGTGCCTGCCCAGTGCCTTGGACTAAGACTCCCATCCTCCCAGCCAGCCCTGGTCCATAGAGGCGCTCTGATTTGGTGGAGTTACAAGGTCCACAGAAGAGACACTCGTCACCGTGAAGTGAGTGCTCGTGGCCCATTCAGTAAACACTGGCACCCGGACCTCCTTTGGGGGGGCAGGTGAGACGTGCCCCTGCACCCTGACTTTTCCTTCTAACTTTCTTGTTCCTGGAGCCTCAGGCGAGGAGATGTGTCACCTCCTGAGCAGCTGAGCCTGTGCGTGCAGACACTCGTGTGGGATTCTGACAAAGTTGTAAAGACCCTTGCCTTTGAGCCCTGAGGATTGGGTCAGCCTGACACGGCATGATGCAATCTCCAAATCCCCGTCTGATCTCGTGCTGCTGCGAATGTGCTGGGTCTTTGCCGACGTCTTAGCACCCTCTCGCCATGGAAACCCCGATCTTTTGTGTCTGGCCCGGCATGTCTGACTTTCCCTAATCCTTGCTGGTTGCCTGAGCCAGCTTAGCGTGATCGGCAAGCCACTTCACTTTCCCTGTTTCTAATGCTTGGTACCTGTGAGGGGATCAGCGCCGTCCTCTTTCCGGGTAGCTGCATGAAGGAGTGTTCTTCTGTTGGACGCATCCTCTGGAGCGCTGGAGGGCTCCACATCCTTCCAGTCTCTGCCCTCTGCCTATTCACCCCCACCCTGGCACCAAATTACTGTGCCAAGCTTCTGGCATCCTAGAAACATGTGCACTTCATCTTGTGAAGGTGAGCAGACCAAATTTGGGGCTCACGGAGCCGGAACACAAGTTCAGGGCTTACTCTGTTTCTTCATTCTATGCTTCTTGTCCCTGTCTTTTTCTCCCCGCACTCAGGATGCAAAAGTCTGGCTGGACTCTGTCTCTCTCGCACTTGCTGGGCTGCTTTTCTGCGCTTGGCCCCCTGCCTGGGAAGCGAGTCGGGCAAAGATCACGCCCCCTCTTTGCCCTAAGTCTGCAGCTCCTTGTGCAAAGCACACAAAGCCCAGCAGCCACGTTTGTGGAACGAGAGCTCCACTAGTGCAGCAGAAGGTGGCCGTGTGGACGCTTTGGCTTGCTTCCTGACGAAGCCCACGCAAATGCTCCATTCGAGGCGGACTCGGGATGGAGAGAAGCCGAACCAAGGGAATCCAACAGATTCCACTGAGGAGAAAGCCTCAGAAATGAAAGTAGCTACATTTTGCCAGAATTGGGTCACTAATAAAGGAAAATTAAGTCCTGAGTACTAATTGGCTCCAGTTGCCAAGATACGGCTTCAGGTCAAAATTGCATCCAAATAATTCCACTGCGCTGCTGGGCTGGTTGATCGAAAGGTTGCTGGTTCAAATCTGCGCAATGGAGTGAGTTCCCTTTGCTCTGTTCCAGCTCCTGCCAACCCTGCAGTTTGAAAGCATGCAAATGCAAGTGGATAAACAGGTACCACTTCGGTGGGCAGGTAACAGCGTTCCGAGCACTTCGGTGTTTAGCCATGCCGGCCACATGGCCACGGAGACTGTCTGCGGACAAACGCTGGCTCCCTCGGCCAGGAAACGGAGATGAGCACCGCCCCCTGGAGTCAGGCATGACTGGACGTAAAGTCAAGGGAAAACTTTTACGTTTACCTTTAAGTCAAAATTACAAGGGGGATGTGTGATTGTGCTCCATCACTTTTCTGCAAAATGGGATATAGCAATGAGAATGGTGCCACACCAATCATTATAAATTTATCTTTTTATTGATACCAACAACATAACTTTGCATTCATTTATTGGTTTTTAATTGGGGGAACCATGCCAGAACAGCAGTCGCTACTATGATTGGTGAGTTCCCCCCACACCCCTGGGGCTGCGAAAGGCGTGGAGTTTTACTTCTTGTGTAGCCCGTGAGGCAGATAAGTTCATAATGAGGGTCCCAGCGCTTGTCCTGAGCCCCCATTTTGCATCCAAAATATGGGTGGCCTGACTTTTTTACCTCTGCCCTCACGCTGCCCTTTTGAGATGCAAATGCAACCTCAGCACAAATGGAGCGGAAGTTGTCTGCCTTGTTTGCACAGTTTGGAGGCTTCTTGGCTTCCGAGAAAAAATATCAGGCAACTGTTCCTTGGAAATGTTAGGCAATGACACTTTCGCAAGCCGCCAGATGTAACTGTATGACGCCTAGATCTGACCAAGACAAATGAACCTTGCAATAAAAGAACAATACATTACAGTTGGTAGTCTCAGAGTGAAGATAAATTCATACACTTTCACATGGCACCATTTTCATTGTTCTACCGTACTTTGTCGAGGAGTTACGAGGCGTCATGATCATCAGGCACCTCCCTCCCGTGTAGGCAAATATACTCACCTGTGTATAGATCTTTATTGTGAAATATCTTGAAGACTTTAGTCAACCAGTACCTTTATCACCTCCCTCCCGTGTAGCCAAATATACTTTCCCATGTTCCCATCCGCAAACTAGATTCTTCCCGCATTGCTCCCCCTGCCAAATTCTTCCTCACTTGCAGCAAGGCTCAGCTGCCACAGCGTCCTGGGTGCTGCGAATGATTGCACCGAAGCCGCAGGGCCCGCCGAGGTCTCCGGGAAGGTGAGAAGGCCAAGGCTCTCCGGCCAGAGCGGAGAAGCAGCTGGGCACTGCTGCTTTTGCTCCCCCGTTGGGGTCTCTAGAGGAAGCCTGCGCCACCTGCTAGCTCAGCGACCCCAAAGCAACCTCCCCCGCCTGTGTGGTGGTCTGTGCAGGTGTCTGCCTGGGTGGGCACGCGTTGCTGCCACCCCCTGCCAGAGCCTGGTGCGGCCTAAAAAGATTGCGTACGCCTGAGCCAAGCGGGCATCCAGGCAAGGGCTCCAGAGGCTGCAGAGGCCGGTCCAGCTCCTTGGACACGGAGATTGACGTTTTTCCTCTTCTGTGCATCCTGCTTATGCTCCATAGACAAGATGGGCGGTTTCCTGCAGTTCGGAATGGGAGAGGCCTGGGTCCTGGCGTGCTGCAGTGGCCTCCAGTGTCTGTCTTTCCAAACTAACTTCTGCCTTTATCCAGTGGAGTTGACTAGAACCATAGAAACAGAGCGAGTCAGAAGGGGTCTCCCGGGCCATCTAGTCTGACCCCCGACTACGATGCAGACAGGGTGTAGCAAAAGCAGTGTTTGGACGGTCGACGTGAATGGTTCCGACTCTTATCTATCCATATTTTGTATGGTATAACGATGCAGCATTCATCGCAAAAAAATTAACTGAAGCAATACATAAAATGTGTATAGGATGTAAATTATTCTAAAATAAGACCTATAAATTATTTTTAAAACATGCAATTCGAATGATGAATACAATTATGGGTAATAGCAAGCTATGTATGAGCAGTTCCGAAAGTGACTAGACCCGTGGGCGAGTGTCGAGGCCGTTTAGCCATTGGACAGCGCTACCTCGAGATGATGTGGTTCTTGCCGGGAGCCCGGAATCCTTCCGAGGGGGCCTTTTGTCACGGGGTGGTGGAGAGTTTGCAGGACTTTCCCACAGTCCCAGTTAGAGTTGTTGAGCAGCCCCCACTTGTGTTCCCAGTATGGGCGCCTGCCGTGATGAGTTTGAATCCGATGGCGTGCTGCACGGTTTTCCCTTGGGAGATCAAAGCCGTGTCCCGGTTCCAGTTTCCTGGTTCTGAGAGTCACATGCCTTCCCTCCTCCTCCGCCTTCAGTCAGTCACACACATACCTCCCCCCCCCCCCCCCCCCCACACAGACAAAATAATTTGATGAACCCGGTGAATGGTTGATGGCAGATGATAAAGTCGGATCGGTTACTGATGGATCCATGCAGGGGAAATGACAGCCGTTCTGAATGCAGTGGCACAGAACGCTCGGGGCTCGCAGCAGGGGCAGGCAAGAACCCTCCTCCTGGCCCCAGGTAGAGCGGTGAGGAGGAGGGCCGGGGTGGCCTTGACGAGGCGCTCAGCACTGCCGGGAGCTCAGCGAGGACCGTGCTTGTCCGTGGGGCCCGGGAACGGCTAGGCTGCCTCTGTCTCTCCCCACAGCCTGAGCGGGGATGCTGAGGGTTGTGCTCCGGCTGACTTGGAAAGCACCGGCTTGGACAAGAATACGTCCTGCTCACACAGGGAAAGGGGGCTTTTGCTGGGGACAACGAGACGATAGCGCTTCGCCCCGGAGCAGATGGAAGGTGGACTGCCAGAAGCGACCTCCAATTCCTGCTGGCTCAACCACTGGTCAGGGCTGCTGGGAGCTGGATTCCAAGCCACCGGGAGAGCTCTGTTCAGCCCAGCCTGCCTTAAGCTTTTTTCAGCCCAGCCTGCCTTAAGCACACGCGCATCCCCAAGACTCTCTTCTGTCCAGTCAGGCTTTTAGGCACATGGAGGAGGTGGGAGAGGGGGCACTGTGGAGCCATTTAAGCGGAAGCGTGCACGGAGGAGTTGGACCCCCTCTTTCCCCCCTGCCAGTCGGATCCGCCCCTGTACTTATATTCCTGGGGTGCGTGCAAGTTTGGAACTCTCCCCCAGCCTCAGGAACGTGCCGTTCTGTCCTTTGCGCCTTTCAACCAGCAGCGGCTTCCTATTAGATGAGGGGTGCATTCGTGACCAAATGGTGTGAGGTGCTCCCCCCCCACCCCGCCCCCTGCTCACGGCTTGCAGAGTAAACGGCTGCATCAGCGGCTGGCAGAGCCCCTTCCTGCCTTCCGCTGAACTGCCCCTGCCTTTGTATCGCTGCAGCTTTATCGGCTCCTTGGGCACCATCGTTATCAAATGCAAAGACCTGCGCATCATTCAGCTTGACATACATGGTGTGGAGGAATCGCTGAACATCGCTAGTTCCATTGAGGTAAGTCAGGCGCCGGAGGGACCCAGCGCTGGGCACCTGGGTGCTGCCTGCCTCCCAGGGGAGGAGGGCACTGGCGGAATGGGAAGGGAAATTGCGAAGTTGTGTTTATATTAAATAAGTACCTGCCTGCCTGTCCAATTTAATACATCCATAATGTTGGGAGCATCTCATTTGGGATATTGAGCCTTGTTCAGCCTGAGGATGGAATGCAATTTAGGAGGATCCCTCAAGGGCCACTTGCCATTGGTGGGTGGAGCCCACGGCAGTAAGTCTGGGATGAGAAATACCCATATATTTTACCCTAAAGCTCATGGTGCCACTAATTAAGCCTCCGGAGAGACTTTCCAGCCTTTGAAGAGGGAGAGAAAAAGCCGCAAACTCAGCAAACAGTTGGTGTTTGAGGGAAAGGGGAAGCAGCCAGGGGAAGGGAGTGGATATTTGGAGAATCCCAGAGGGCCAGATTTGGTCCACAGACCTGAGGTTCTGCACCCCCGATTCATCTTGCTTTAAATTCCTCCTCCCCAAAGCTAGCTTTACATCTGAAACCAAACCGACTGCCGTTATTGGCTCCGAGGGACATTTGCAGAAACCGGCTCAGTGCAAAGCTGTCAGCGGCAGAATGCTGACCGATGGTGCACCTTCAGTGGAGCCTGGTCGGGGGGGCTGGCGGAAGCCCCCTTGGATGGAGCCGGACAGTTGGGGAGGACGGGAGCTTTGATTGGCACGTGTGGTATAGTGCGTCTCCTCGTGTCAGGTTTTACTCAGTTAAGGGTTGCTGGGCTGCTCTGAGCGGCTGTTTGCTTTTAATCGAGATTGCACCATTCTGGCCGCTGGGGCTCCTTGTGGGACCCGGTGTGCCAGCACTGAGGGCATCCCCAGGAGTGACACAGCTTCCGGGGATGCGAGGTTGTCTGCTTATTGCATTTTTATCCAGACCGTTTTCTTTCGAGGAACACAAGGTCACTTATATATTCTTCCTCTTCCTCTCCATTTTACCCTCACAAGAACCCTGTGAGGTAAGCTGAGGGCCCAGGGCTGGCCCAAAGTCATCCTGCCGGCTTCGTGGCCAAGTGAGGACTAGAACCCAAATCTCCCGGGTCCTAGTCCAGCGCTCGGCGCTGCACGAAACTGGCTCGAAGGGCAAGGAGGGGACAAGCTTTGAGCCGCTGTTTTAAACCAGGAGGCATCTAGCAAATTGTAACTCTGTGTGTGTGTGTGTGTGTGTGTGTGTGTGTGTGTGTGTGTGTCACACCTCCTCTGCAGGCTCTGTCCACTTTGGATTCCATCACCCTGATGTACCCGTTCTTTTATCGGCCCATGTTTGAAGTCACCGAGGACGGCTGGCACGCCTTCTTGCCCGAGCGTGAATTTGAGCTGCTCAGTTCTGTTGTAAGTCTCCCACTTCAGCCGCAGGCTTCCTTTCCAGCCCCTTTTTTACCTGAAGGGAGAAGTGGGGCCGGTTCTCTGTGGGAGCCCAGCCCTTCGGGGTCTGGCCCGTGGGGGGGGGACCACTTCCCATCCTTCATGCATGGTGGGTGCAGCGTGGAGACGCCTGTTCCACGGGGCATTTGAAAATGATGCACAATGGCTCCGGCTGCAGCTTTTTAAGAAGTGGCAGCTGGTCCTTAGGGTTCGGTTTTATACTCTGCTTGAACTGCTTCCTTTGGCGATGAGCTGGCCAGGCTGCAGTTGTCTGGTGCGTTGTGGAGGGATGTGACAGGTGGGGTGCCCGGGATCCCCATCGTTGGCTTCTCATGCCAACGGTTGGCTTTTCCAGATTCTATTTTTCCTGGAAAAAATCGTTTGGGCCCATCCTAATGATCCTCGGCTCCTTACTCTCCCCAGACAAACGAATGGCGGCTGAGCTACGTGAACAAGGATTTCTCTGCCTGCCCCTCCTACCCGCCCATTGTCACCGTCCCCAAATCGATCGATGACGAGTCCCTCTGCAAGGTGGCTGCGTTCCGCCACGGTGGCCGCTTCCCTGTCCTCAGCTATTACCACAAGAAGAATGGGATGGTGAGTCGGGGCTGGGATGGGGAGGGGGTGCTTGCCTAGGCCCAACCCAGGGAGAACAAACAGGCGGCAGTTTACTTTCCAGAGATGAAGGGGCATGATTGGAAAGGCCAGGCTTGTGCCCATGAGCAAAGGTGGGACAGCCACGGAATGGAGGCGTAGGACCTCTTGAGTCATGAGCGGGGCCGTGCAAGGTGGGCAGGGGGCTTTTAGAATAGGGTTGTGCAGAGAATCCAGTGGTGGGTCAAAATACCACAGAAGGGCCCAGCTCGGCCCCCCAGATCCTGGCCCATCAACCTCGTGGTGCCCCCGACTCACTCGCACGTGGGCTGACCCACCCCCCTTTCGCAAACGCTACAAAGCCAAAACCGCCACATTGGCACGAAACCCAGAATCGTGCGTACCAGCATTCATTTTACCCTTTGGCAGGTTGAAGAAGGTCGTGCCACGCACTGTCTTTGTTCAGTCGCTAAGTCATGGCCGACCCTTCACTACCCCATGGACAACACTCCTCCAGGCTCTCCTGTCCGCCACCATCCCCGGAGTCCACCCAAGCCCACTCCCACCACCCCAGTGACCCCATCCAGCCACCTCAACCTCTGCCATCCCTTCTCCTTTTGCCCTCAATCGTTCCCAGCATCAGGGTCTCCTCCAGGGAGTCTTTCCTTGCGTCACTCACTAACCAACAGCAAAGGGCACATCCTGTGTTAAACAGAGGCCCTCCCTGGGGTGACGGGTGGCGTCTGTGGGCTGCAGAGGCTCCGGACCAGGAGCAAGCGCCTCACTGGACTTCGCTGGTCCTTCCAGGTCATGATGCGGAGCAGCCAGCCGCTCACAGGCACGAACGGGCGACGTTGCAAAGAGGACGAGAAGCTGGTCAACGCCACCCTGAGGGCGGGGAAGCGGGGCTACATCATTGACACGCGCTCGCTGAATGTCGCCCAGCAAGCCCGGGCGAAAGGCGGGGGCTTTGAGCAGGAGGTGCACTATCCGCAGTGGCGGCGGATTCACAAGTCCATCGAGCGGTGAGTGGAGCCTCCGAAGTCCTCGTGGCGCTTCCAGGGCTGCTACGTTTTTCTGCAGAAGGCAGCTGTTGTAGTTGTTGCCTCGCAGGACCTGTTGTATGTTTGTACGTACGTATGTATGTATGTATGTATTTATTTATTTAAAACATTTCTATGCCGCCCCCATCGCAACAGCCTCGGGGCCACTCACAACAATTCTAGGCAATGTCAGCTCTCCCGAGGCAGGAACACGGAGGAAAAGACTCCCAGTTCTCTTGGATCTTCCAAATAGATTAAAAGAGCAAAGAAGTTTTGAAGATACAAATATGCAGAGACTCAGTCAAAGCCTACCCAGCTGAGACTGCGGCTTTGTTGCCGTTGCCTTCGGTTTTTTGCGTTTCGTTTCTTAAACATCCTTGCTGCATTTTGGAAAGATACATCCCAAAGGACCAGAGTTTACCCTATTAATAGGTTCTGCTCTGTTAAATAACGCATTTGGCAGAACAGAACCCTCCAGTCCAGGGAGAAACGTGTGCCAAGAGGGCCCTGCTGGAGTCCCTTCTTTACATCCTGACCCACACCGCTGCCAGGGTCCACGTCCCACCCCCTCTTTGGCCTTGGGAGTGTGAGCATTTGTGGCGAGTGCTCAGCACCCCGAGGCAGCATGGAGTCTGGGGCGGGGAAGGCCTGTGGGGCGGGGGCGGTTTCCTTGCTTTGCATGCAGAAGGTTCCAGGTTCAAGTCCTGGCAACTCCAGGCAGGACTAGGAAACCCCCAGCCTGATGGAGAGCCCACTATTCCTATCAAGCAGCCTGAGGAGGTGGGATCGGGGGGCTGAGCTGAAATGTCAAGGTCAGCCAACTCGGGGATGAGACAACTGGCTGACAAGAACCAGGCAGTTTCAATCCAAGGGGAACCTGGGCTGAGCAGACTGAGAAAGACGGTGACGGACTAAACATCATCAGTCCAATGGTGCGAGTGTCGAGTAAAAAGCGCAGGCCAATTAAAAAGCGTCAGACACTCTTGGCAATTGGCCCACAAGCAGCAGGAACCTCCCTCAAGGTGGAGGCAGATCCATTTCGTTTGGAAGCCAGGAGAGATGTTCTGGCCGGATTCAGCTCCATTCTGCAAAGCCACTTTTCCCGAGTCACCGGTCTTCTAACTTCCTTGTGCCTTGTGCCGGCTTCTGCAATATTCTCCTGCATTCCAAAGAGAACCTGGCTGCCTGCCCTGCTTGACATAATGAAGACTTCCATAAGAAGATCTTTGGTCGCGATATGTTCGGGAGGAGAGTGGGGAGAAGACCAGCACGTGACACTTGGAACCTTGGCTTGCTGCTGCCAATCAGAGTTGGCAGGACTGGGCTAGATGGACCTGGAGTCTGGCTCGCCGTAAGGGCGCTCTGTATTTTCCTAGTCAGCGTCTGAGTAGAGGGACGGCACGATGCGTATCTTTCCCTCAGGGAGGCCGGGGTATGGACTGGGTCCCTTCCGCCTGTAGCCAGTTTGGGTGACGTAGCCAAAAGCCCCTCCAGGGCTGCCCCCCCCCCCCGCCCCAGTGGTGACATGTCAACAGGTCTGAGGTCCTGGGCCAGCCAGGGGGGAAAGCAGTGCAAAAAGATGCTTCCCCCACCCTTGCTTCTTAATTCAGTGTGCAGATAAGATAGTGTTGCGTGGGGGGGGCGGGGGGGTGACAGAAGCCATGTGGTGTGGCTCAGGTGTACCTGAAAGTTCAGGCTTGCTTTGGAGGGAGGGCAGGCCTCCCCCAGTCTCTGCCCATCCCGCCCTTGGGGTTCAGAGCGAGCAGAGCTGGGATCAAATCGACTTTGCTATAGACAGGAAGGCCGGAGGTCAGTGGGGGTTTTGACGTTTCCCTCCAAACCCCACGCCCCCAGGTCCTTCTGCCACTTACCCCACCTATCTCAAGCAGAGGGAGTGGAGGAAGGGGTGAGAGGAATAAAATGCATACATTCTTGGGTCTGCTTCACTTCAGAATCCTGTGACAGGCGTGCTTCTCTTTGGAATTTGCGCATCAGCCCCTTCACCCCCTTTCTGGCCCCTCCCTGCCCAGTTCCCCCTTCGTGGCGCTGGGGTGTGCGTGGCTAAGAGCAGAGCGTGGTCTGACTTCTCCGTACATTTGTGTCAAGCCTCTTTTTTTACTGCAGGATCTGCCCAAGCAGATGTTGCAAACATTCCCTCATTTGAGTCTTTGACTAGGTTCAGACAGGGACTGCAGGTGGCGCAGGGGTTCAAACTGCTGTGCTGCTGGGCTGGTTGATCGAAAGGTCACTGGTTCGAATCTGCACAACGGAGTGAGCTCCCGTTGCTCCGTCCCAGCTCCTGCCAACCCTGCAGTTCGAAAGCATGCAAATGCAAGTGGATAAAAAGGCACCACTTCGGTGGGCAGGTCACAGCATTCCGTGCACCTCGGTGTTTAGTCATGCCGGCCACATGGCCACGGAGACTGTCTGCGGACAAACGCTGGCCCCCTCGGCCAGGAAACGGAGATGAGCACCGCCCCCTGGAGTCAGGCATGACTGGACGTAACGTCAAGGGGAAACCTTTACCTTTACCTTAGGTTCAGACAGCACAAGAGCCTGCGCTCAAGGGCTGAGTGAGGGTTGTTGTTGAATCTTGGGTTATGATGTCTCTGCACTCAGCTGGGTTCACAAGTCATGGCTTGAGCAGAGGATTGGACCCAACAGCCTCCAGGTCCAACCCTATTTTGCTATGTTTCCATTAGGAGAATTCACGGCTTGTTGTTGGGTTGTGAACTGCTCTTTGTTCTGCAAGGATTGTTCTCTCTGCTGGGTCCAAACAGCACAATAACCCAGGGTCCAGGAACCATCCCTGGTTCAGCGACAACCCATGCTCAGCGCACCCTCAGGCCTGAATGCTGGTCGCCGTGTTGCTTGATCTCAGCCGTTCTGCCGAAGGCAGTTGAACTGATCTGCTGTTGAAAGCAAACTGCAAGCCACTGTCAGTCAGGGATGCAAAACTCTGGACTTGCAACCTGGAGGCCAAATTCCGTCTTGGAAAAGCTGCATTCCAGGGGCACGTCGGTCGGGCTGGCAGGAAAAACGGGGCAGGACCACAGCGATAAGTATCCCAACATATTTTAGCTTAAAGCTCTGAGTGCTGGAAGCCAAACCTCAGGCGCTTTACAACCTTTAGAATGGGTGTGGGAGAGGAATGCACAATAGGAATGCTGTGTAGGCGGAGGGAAGGGGCTGAGCCGGCCATTCTGGCCTGCAGCTCCCGGCTCCCTTTTGCCTGTCCAAACCGCTGCATAGCAGTGCCTCTTGTCCATTTTAATTTCTTACTGAAATACCACCACTGAAGTTTCCTGCCTTGCCTTCTGCTCCAGGAGATGACGGTCCAGAACAAGGCACTACCACAGAAAGGGGCTTTCCCCTGTAGCCACCTGCCTTGCCTTAGACAGGAGGGCACCGAAAGACTATTCCAGACCAGGCCAGCCCTTCAGCCCAAGAAGGTTCAGCGACTTAGCTGGGGGCAACTTCCAGCCGCTCCAGGGGGCCTGAAGATGTCTTGCAGAGACTGGGAAAGCCAGGCCGACCCCTTGCCCACGTGCAAAGGCTTGGACCTCAGAATCCTGGTCCGTCGATCTTGTAGAATCCTGGTCCGTACAGACACCCAGGTTCCAGAGCTAAGATTTGGCAGATTCGTCCACTGTCACCCCTTCTCTGCTGCTGCATCAGCAAGAGGTGCTGGGACGCCAGCCGTAATGCTCTCTGTGTGGCTTGTGGGTCTCACGCTGCTTCTGCTTCTGCTCCCTCTCCCTCTCCCCTCCCCTCGCCTCCCCGCAGGTACAATATCCTGCAGGAGAGCCTCATCAAGCTGGTGGAGGCCTGCAACGACCAGTCGCACAACATGGACCGCTGGCTGAGCAAGCTGGAGGCATCCAACTGGCTGACCCACATCAAGGAGATCCTGACCGCGGCTTGCCTGGCTGCGCAGTGCATCGACAGGTGAGCTCCCACCTGCCTGTCGGGGCAGGCTGGAGCCAGGGCGCTTCACGGCGGGCCCTCCTGAAGGACGCGCCGAGGCATCCTTGCTCCTCAGGTGCAGGCAGCAGGTAGCCACGCAAGAAGGCTGTCTGGCTCGCCACCTTGTGGACAGCCGGAAGTCTTTCAGAAAAGAACAGGGCGCCCCTTTGAATCAAGAATCAAGACGGCTGATATGCAGTGGTAGACTGCCCCTGAATGGGGAAGCTCTGCTTATTAGCATGACTAGTGGCCAATGATGGGCCTGGACTACTCCTTCATCAGTTGAACTAATCCCCTTTAAGAGCATCTCAGGACCAGCTTTCGCTCCGTGTGGTGGGGTCTGGGAGGCTGCTTTCCGGTGGTGGCGGAACCAGTTGCAGAAGGGCTGGGAGTTGTTCCTGCCATTAACAAAAATGCTCCAAAGCCAGAAAACCCCCAAACAAGGGAGGCAGGCCTGATCGGGGCCCCAGGATTTGTTTCAGAGGCTTGACGTTCCAGTGGCCCCCCCCCCCAAATGAAAGTTGTAACACTATTCTGGGGCAGGCAGGGGGAACAGAAAAAAGAGGCTTCTGGGATCAGGGGACCTTTTCGGTTGCCCCCTGTTCCAGGAACTGCTGGGATTTGAGAGTGCCTTGCCTCCGGGCATGCCGTGTGGCTGACAGACCCTCTTCATCTCCCGTGAATTTGCTTACTCCCGTTTTAAAGCCCTGGACCCAGTGATGCTCCTTGTCCCTCGTGGCAGGGACACCGTCTGTTCCCCACGTTTGGCGCACAGAATCCGGCTGCTGCAGACTTTTTCCTCCTCGGGCGTGTGCCCTGCTAGCTTGTCAGGAAAGAAGTCGGTAAATATTGGCGGAAAAGGACAAAATGCGGCTGGCCCCACGTCACCATTACTGTGACCACGGCTGAGTGGAGCGTTGAGTCTGGTTTGTCCCCAGTCCAGTTTCATCCCTGGATGCAGTGGAGAGTAATTTATTTTTTATTTATTATTAAAACATTTTTATGCCGCCCCATTCGCCGAAGCCTCGTGTATCACGCCCAGTAACTTGTATCTTAATCCAAAGAAAAGGAGGTTTCTCTACCCAGTCTATCCTAGATGCAGTGAAGGCTCGAGTCTGAATTTTAGAGAAGGGTGCGCTGACAGCCAAAGTGCTTACCAATGATAATTTAAAACCTTAAATCCATTTAAAACCTTCAAGGCGCTGGAGGTTCGAGTCCATTTTCCAGCTGCACGACAGCCCGACTAAACCCACTGTGTTTGGATGAACGATCGACTGGCCTCACGGGAGAGGACGTCCATCTTTGCCACGCCACTGGTGCCTTAAATACCTTTTAACTGTGCCGGGCTTTTCCCGCAGGGAGGGAGCGTCTGTCTTGGTCCACGGGACAGAAGGCACCGATTCGACACTGCAGGTGACCTCTCTTGCTCAGATCATTCTTGATCCCAGGTGCAGGACCATCCGTGGCTTTGAGGCTCTGGTCGAGAGGGAGTGGCTGCAGGTGAGAGCTACTGTTCTTTTGCTGGCAGAGACTTGTGTGGCCTGGGGGGGGCGGGGGGGTTGGGGCATCTCCCTGCTGTTAATTCACACATGGGATGCGCATCCCGCTCAGAATCCCTCTTGGTCAGTCCACATGCAGCGACACGGCCGTTGATTATTGCAACTGTCTTGGCCAGCGACCTGACAGAGCCTTTGTAAACCAGGCAGCAGGTACCAAAAAAACCTAAAACCTGCAGCCCCTGTGCAGGGCATTTTCACTTCATTTATTGCATTGCTTTGCCCCCCCCCCCCCCCACCCCCCCCCGGTGATTTACAAAGAGCAAAACCTTGATAATATAACAATTTGCAAACATTTGATCGGACACCACATAGACACCGCAATTTTGAACAACCAGCAAGAAAATGAAAGCTCACGGTATGCTGCTCACGTGCCTGAAAATATGACAGGGTTGGTGCCAGATGGGACACGTCAGGGAAATCGTTGGAGTCACCACCGGAAAGCCCCGTTCTCACAGCTGCCTTTTAAGTCTCTCTTGGAGGAGGAACGTGGAGGAGGGCCTTACCTGATCAACATCCTGTGGCGGCAGGTTCCTGCCAAGGAATGCCAAACCCAGCGCTGTCTCTCGGGAGCAGACGCCTGCAGACAGCCAGTGTCAGCAGGCCAAAATCGGCATTCGGTTCAGACCTTCCAGCTCCTTTTTCCAGGTTTTGCGCAAGCTGCAGCTTCTGAGCCGTCTTCCAAGGCAGCTCCGCGAGGAGCACACTGCAGTAGTCTAGCTTTGAGGTTCCCAAAGCATCAGCAATGAAGCCAGGCAGGCAGCCGCTTAGAGATTGATAACGATGCCCTGTGATGCGGGGGGGGGGATGTCCAGGGGCCTCAAGCCCCCCCCCCCAGCCTCCCTCCCCATCGGTTGAAATGCAGCAGAAGTGAGGGAGAAAGGGGCTTCCTTTGAAAAGCCAGACATGGCCGTTTTCTGCAGGAATTTGGTGGGGTGGGGGCAAAAGGCAGAACGAAAGCGAGCAAGTGCCTCTTCCCCACCACCGGCTGCATGGCGCCCTCCCCACTCCGGCAGGATCCCGGGGGGAAGCAGCCCGCCGATTCCTGCTCCAGACGAAAAGTGAGTCTCTGTGCCGTTGAGTTACCCCTGGCAAAACGCTCATCATTCTGAGAACTGCTTGCACGGCAGAATGCAGGAAACTGGGAGCATGCAATGTGAAAGGGAGGCCCCGCCAGGCTCCCGGGATGATCCCGATAAGGCCAAGTTGGCCAGGTTCGACCTCCTGTGAATGGGAGCTCCTCTGTCCCCCAGGCAAGAGTGCTTACAACTTTTCCCCACCTTTTGCCATTTTCTTGCTCTGGCTGTAAATGCGGAACCCCCTAGTCCCCCTATCCCACTGCAGCTTTCCCCACCTGCTAGGCTGGACTACACCACCTATCATCCCCAGTCTTGGTGGAGGTGAAGCCAAGGCTGCTGTAACTCAGCCTGAAGACATGCAACTGAAATTAATGCCTTGTCTTCCTCTTTTCATCCCTCTTGAGCTGAATTTCGTGCTGTAAGCTGTATGGGGCAGGGACCTGTCCTATTGCCCTTGGCAAAGTTTCACATGGAGTTCCTTCTGTTCACCCCACTAGAAGGATTCTCATTTTTTTTCTCCGTGTTACAAAGTTTTCTTTTGGGTCCATGGTTATTCTGCCCAATCCTGGGCGTGTTGAACCCCTCTCACCCCGAGAGCTGAATTCACATTTGGAGAAGCCCTGTGGGGTAAGCGGTAAGCCCAGCTGAAAGCATGGAGCCTCCAGAGAAGCATTGCCCGGTTTTGGCATGAGAGGATTGCTGTGCAAACCACGGGAGATCCACCAAGCGATCGGTAACCGGGATCCAGCCGGCTGGTGTGCCCCAGAGGGCCAGATTTGGCCCGCGGGCCGAGCTGTTCCGCACTCCGGCTCTAACGGAGGGTGCCTTGTCTCCGCAGGCCGGTCACCCCTTCCAGCAGCGCTGTGCCCAGTCGGCCTATTCGAACAGCAAGCAGAAGTGGGAGGCGCCCGTCTTCCTGCTCTTCCTGGACTGCGTTTGGCAGATTCTCCGCCAGTTCCCGTGCTCCTTCGAGTTCAATTATCACTTTCTCCTCATGCTCTTCGAACATTCCTACGCCTCCCAGTTCGGCACTTTCCTGGGCAACAACGAGAATGAAAGGTGAGCTCCGCATTTCATTCAGGGCTTCCCCGTGGCTGAGGGAGGGATGTTCCTACTACACCGGTCTACACGGAGAAAGCCTCAGAAATGAAAGTAGTGAAGTTTTACCAGAATTGGGTCACTAATAAAGGAACATTAAGTCCTGAGTACAAATTGGCTGCAGTTTCCAAGATACGGCTTCAGGTCAGAATTGCATCCAAATAATTCACAATTACGAGGGGGATGTGTGATTATGCTCCATCACTTTTCTGCAAAATGGGATATAGCAATGAGAATGGTGCCACACCAATCATTATAAATTTATCTTTTTATTGATATGAATAACATAACTTTCCATTCATTTATTGGTTTTTAATTGGGGGAACCATGCCAGAACAGCAGTTGCTACTGTGGTTGGTGAGTTCCCCCCACACCCCTGGGACTGCGAAAGGCGTGGAGTTTTACTTCTTGTGTAGCCAGTGAGGCAGATAAGTTCATAATGAGGGTCCCAGCGCTCGTCCTGAGCCCCCATTTTGCATCCAAAATATGGGTGGCCTGACTATTTTACCTCTGCCCTCACGCTGCCCTTTTGAGATGCAAATGTAAGCTCAGCACAAATGGAGCGGAACTTGTCTGCCTTGTTTGCACAGTTTGGAGGCTTCTTGGCTTCCGAGAAAAAATATCAGGCAACTGTTCCTTGGAAATATTAGGCAATGACACTTCCGCAAGCCACCAGATGTACCTGTATGATGCGTAGATCTGGCCAAGACAAATGAACCTTGCAATAAAAGAACAATACATTACAGTTAGGTGATATTTTATTTATTTATTTATTTATTTATTCATTCATTCATTCAAGTTTTTATATGCTGTCCCCTTGCTATATAGCCTCGGGACGGCTCACAGAAATAAATAAATGCAAAATAAATAAATAAATGCAAAAGTATCTTTAGTCTCAAAGTGAAGATAAATTTAGACACTTCCATGTGGTACCATTTTCATTGTTCTACCGTGCTTTGTTGAGAAGTTACGAGGCATCATGATCATCAGGCACCTCCCTCCCGTGTAGGCAAATATACTCGCCTGTGTATAGATCATTATTGTGAAATATCTTGAAGACGTTAACCAACCAGTACCTTTATCACCTGTTTTGTAAGTCATCTAATCAAAATGTGTATTTTGATTTTATCTCGGAGGTCGATAAAGTCCCAAAATTTGTAGACCGGTGTTATTTGTATGATTGTTCTTTATTGCATTTCTATTATAATTTGGGGATCTGAGCAGCTGCACTGCACATTGGAGAGGACGGGATTGGTGCTGAAATGTGCAGCCTGCGCCGAGAATCGCGTGCATATTTATTGCATTTCAGTACCACCCAGCATCTGGAGCTCTCTGTTGGGAGTGTAGCAATCAAAATAATAAAATTGCATTATATTATTATTTTGAGTTCCCCAGAGCAGCTCGCTTGGTTCCTGCACTGGTTTTTCCAGTGCCTGATGAAGACTTTCCTATTTTCCTGGGCTTTTTAGTTTTTCAATGTCCATTGTTTTGAATCTGCCATAGTGTTTTACAGGATTGCATTGTGGCTGGTTTTAATTTGTTTTTGTTTAACATTTATAGTGTTTTAGAAACACTAAATTAACCCGTGGAAGGAGAAAAAGATTCTCTGCACCCTTTTGATACCTAAAAGACTGTTATTTGGTCTGCTTTTGTTGAGGCCTGTGTAAAATTACCAGAAATTCTGTATGCATTTCATTCCAACCCTGGTGCACATATCCAGGACATGAGTCGGGGGGTACAGTGTTCCTGAAGGTGCCCATGTTGGGGACCTGCACTCTGTATGCCTTGAGTAAGGGTCTCCCAACAGGGCTGGGCCCAGTGCAGGATCCAGGAACTCACAAACCTGGGGGCAAGATCAGCGGGTACAGCTGAATCCCTCCCACCTGCCCTTCTATGGCTGGCACTCAGGCAGCCCCGGGGGGATCTCCTGCGACCCATCACAGGGCGGCTGCAGCAGCACCCCCGGCGTCTTCCAAGCTCACACCAGCGAACAGTGCGTGGGCAAATGCTTCGGCCTGTGCTCTGCAGACCGGGTTGCCGGCCCAGGCACACTGAGGCTTGCTGACACAAGGGGGAACCTGCGTAGCGCAGAGCTGGCTGCGTAACTCCTGGACGCATCTCGCTTTGCTCACGCGGAGCTTTGAGGAGGGCCATTTGCTCAAGGTGGTTCGTTTTGTCCTCCTCCCACACGTCCTCCTTGCAAAGCTTCCCCCGTCGGCTTGTCCAAGAAGAGCTTTGCACCTGCATTTTTCATATTCGGGGGCGCACGCCCCTCTTTCTGTGGAGGGACGTGTGGTAGCCAGGGACTGCCCACGCACCCTGTCCCGTGCCGCTCCTTGGAAATTGGAAAATGCCATCGTGGGGCAGAACCGGTCCTCACTCGGCACGGGGCTTTAGCCAAAGACCGCAGGAGCCTGCGTGTCTCTTACTGCTCCAAGCGTCTCCAGAAGCCCAGTGCCGAGGGAAAGCTTCTGCTCCTTCTACAAAGTTCGGATAATTTTGAGCCTAATCTGGAGAAAGGGATCTTTGCCGGTAAGCAGAAGAGGGGGTGCTGCTGCACTGGACATGCAGCCGAGCGAAAGGAGCAGGGGGCTCCTGTGGGCTTTGCTCTCTCCCAACCAACCTGCTTGTGGCCCCCACCACTCTCTGCGCCAGGTGCAAGCTCAAGCTGCCCCAGAAGACGATGTCCCTCTGGTCCTGGGTGAATCGGCCGGAGGAGCTCAACAGGTTCAAGAACCCCCTCTTCGAGGCCAACAGCCTGGTCATCTGGCCGTCCGTCGCACCGCAGAGCCTGCAGCTCTGGGAAGGTAGGGGCCCCCCGAACACCTCTGCCTCTCTGGGGCCTTCCCGGAAGTGATGAGGCGCTCCGTCAGCGGCGGAGACTAGCAGTACCTCTGCCCACGGCCCTCTTTCCCAAAGAAGACTTTCCTGGCCACACTCCTTCGTGCCCTTTAATTAACCTTCCTGGCTGGGCTGCAGAAATGCATTCTGCGAGGAGCTGTCCAGAAAAGGGCCCAGGCAGCTTTGGCTGCTTCAGAATCCTACTGCCAAAATTGCCGTCGAACGCTTCTGGAGGGCACCAGGTTGGAGGCGGCTGCCAAAGGACCCCCTCCTCTCCGTGCCTTCCCGTAACAGGGAAGGCCCTGCCGGGTTCTCTCCGGCCCTCTGAGGCTTGGTGGGAGGCATGAGGGAGGCCTCCCGCTTGGGACCCACATGTTTTGGGGATGGCTTTGATCGAGCCTCCTGGGATGTCTTTGGGAAAGAGAGATGGGGACAGAGAAAGCTACATTCGCGGCAGCACCCCGTAAATAACGAACTGGCGTGTGCTGGCACGAATGAGACGGCGAGTGGTTTTTCTGCTTTAATGCCTGCTTCTTTGCTGCACCAGGGGTCTTCCTCCGCTGGAACCGGTCCTCCAAATTCCTGGATGAATCCTATGAAGAAATGATAAATATTATCAAGTACAACAAAGAACTCCAAGGGAAAGTCAACCTGCTGAGGCGGCAGCTGGCGGAGCTCGAGACGGACGACAGCACGCCCGGGGACAGGATCCCGGAGCACCCCTGACTGCCCGCGCCAGGTGTCCCTTCTCTGCCGGGCGACTCGTCTCGACACGCTAAGCATTAAACACACCGAGACTTGCATGTGCTCCAGATCCTTTTTGGTGCAGTGAGAGTGAACGTCGTTTGTTTCATGCTTCACAGCACTGCTTTCCCTTAAATGGAGGGGTTTGTTTTCGTTTTCGTCTCCTGGCGCGAGCTCGTCATGTGACGCCGTGGAGGGGTCCTCTCCTGGCAGTGCTCTCACATCCTGAGAACGGTGCGCAAGGGGAGTGTCCGCCACGGCCGATGAGCGCGGCTTGCGCCCTCCTGCACGCAGTTTGTGGCCGGGGTGTGGGGGCCGGGGCTTGGGCTTGGGCTTGGGCTTGGGCTTAACTCAGATTTCACACTGGACTTGAACGTGTTCTGAATGTTTGTGCAACCTGCAGAAGGAAGGCTCCCTTGTGGAGGGAAACAGGCACGCGCGTCTTCTTCCCCAGCTGTCCCGCTTTATTTCTGGGATTGGCACTGTCCTTCGGTCGCTTAGGGCCTCCAGCCTCAAACCAAAACAGCATCTCCCAGACTCACCCAGCAGGCGTGGATTGGGCCCCTCAGTAGGGCAGGTGATTCCCCCCACCCTCCAGCCCAGAGGGTGCTTCCGCCACAAGCTCCGTCTCGCTGGGTGGGGGGCATCGCAGCCGCCCTTTGGAACCCGACGGGTTGCAGGCACTGCTGGCTTTTAAAGCACGGTATGCCAGCTTTTCCGCAGTTGGGTTATTTCTGCTGTGGACGAAATATCCAGACACAGGATCCTCCGACTGGCACCCAGAAGCGGTCTGATTTCAGGTTAGTTCAGGAGCTTTTCCTCTCTGTCCTTCGAGCTGACTTTGGTTTGTTGGGGGTCCCTTCTGTTGGCTTTGCTCGCCGGGCAGAAAGAGAGCAGGGATTCCAGCCAGGATGGCAAGCGAGCAGCACTTCACTCGGATGAGAGGGAAGCCCCCGGATCCTCGTGACACCTTCAGTTCCATCAAGTTAGGAGCAACTTGGTGCAGAGCAGAAAGTGATGCAATTCTATCCAGCTTGGACATTTTTTATCACGGGCTCTGTGGAGCTGGGACAGAATTTTAACCTGCAAAACTAGGCGGGCTGGCCTGGGTTTACTGCCTGCCTGGAGCAGCCAAAGTCGGAGAGAGCTGAAATGCCTGCCACTCCCAACTGGTTGTCTCTGGCTAATGCTTTGATGACAAGCGAGAGAGGCTTGCCCGAGGGCTGCTGACCTCCCTTCCCTGCAGCTAAGGCCTCCTCATGAGCAAGTTGAGCAGGTGGAAGGACGCATGTATGGATGCTCACCACTGCTCCTCTTTTGGGGACAAAATGCCAGCGCTTCAATGAATTTTGTCGTGTGGAAATTTTGTCGTGGTGGCGAGTCGGACGCCTCTGCGGAGCATCGCCATGTTACTTTTGAAACTGCTTTTCCTAGTGCTTGCAATCTCGACAAGGAAGGTCCCCCCCCCCCCCCCCTATTTTGTTGGCTGTGTTCCGTGTTTCAGCCTCCGCTTTCCATGCTTTGAGCCACACTGGATCCTCTCCTTTCCACGGTCGTGTGCAAATGTTCTCCGTGGGCATGGCCACCGCCAGCTTGACCTGCCGTCCTTTCAGCCTCCTGCCTCTTCCACAGGGTTCTTCCGTTCTCGACTCGTCTCCCCCACCCTTAGTAGCATCCAGCCCCTCCCGATCTGAATTTCTTGCTTCCCTGCTTCCTGTTAAAGCCAGTCCCAACCAAGCCAACAGCTGCTGCTTCCCTCACAGGAGGAGGACGTGAAGCATCTTTCGTCGCTGAGTAACTGCACACTCCGTGTCTCCGCCACAGCAACTCAGCCAACCTGTGCCAGAGGCATAGAAGATGTTCAGGTCCTAAGAGACGGGCAACCCTGTGAGACAAGCCTTACGTTCCAGAGGCGGAATGTGTTTGATGACACTAAAACACCCGTTCCTTCATCTCTCTTATTGCAGTTGGTTAAGAGCGTCCTGGATAAGGGCAGCTATTCCCCTTCTGGAACTTCCTGGAATACTGGGCAGTTGACTCAACTGGGAATCAGCAGTCCCAAGTTGCTTTGGACCTGCTCCTCTTCTCCTCTGACCTTCCCTCAAGCAGACAATAAGGAATCCCTGGTCCTTAGGGACCAACACTCGGGATTAGGATCCTGTGCAGCATTTGTGATTCCCCAAAGAAGCCCGAATCGATGCCAAGCTGTTGAGAACAGATGGGGAGCGGGAAGCCCGATCCAGGATTCCACAGAGTCGAGCTCAGCTTCCTAGCTGCCTCCCATTGATGCTTGTCCCCCAAACCTCCAAGTCCTTGGCAAGTACAACTCAAATCCTACCTTCAGCATTTGCTGGTGGAAGCCAGAGGCCAAAACACCTGGAGGGCCACTCATTGCCCACCCCTGCTTAGACACAGCCTGTCTCCACCCCCACCCAGCTCAGCGCCGGCCTCCATACCTGCAAGATGCCACTCGGGGCTAGACAGTGAACCTGCCATGCAGGTGTGCTTTGCTTGGAACTGAATCGCTCACGAGCGCTCAGGAATGACGGCTCTTTTAAAAAAGCTTGCTTCTCATCTTCAAAGGCTGGTTCATGATTTGATGGTACTGTTTAAAAACAGCTAATCTTTTGGTTTATTTGTTTTTTTATACGTTTGTTTTGCTAAAGGGAATTGTAAATACAGTATTGACCAGGAAATATTTATTATTATTTCAAGTTGTTCGTGTAGGTTAAAAAGCACGAGGAGATTATGTTGGACAAGTTAATTTCAGTTGCAAGGAGGTTGTCCTTTCATGTGTGTTTTGTTAGGGCCAAGAATGTGGGATTGGCCAATAGCTTGGGAATCTCCAGATACATTTTTCAGTGCATTTCTGCACTACAAAAAATCCTAGGAATTGCAGTCCTGGAAGAAGCTTCTGGGAATTCTTCATGATCGCTTCTTAGAGCAGCCTTCCAAAACCTGGTGCCCTTGATGGGAACTGTAATCCAACCCATCTGGCGGCTTCCATTTGAAAAAGGCTGTCACAGAATGAGGCTTTCCGACAACTGGGAGCAAATGATAGCAGGACCTGGACTCAGTAATGTGGTGTTTCTCCCCCCCCCCCCACACCGATCCGTTTTTTCTTGTTCAGAGTCAGAGCTTTCTAACCACAGGATGGCAGTCTCTGTGTGACTTCGTGTTTGGTGATTATTTCCCACCCAGTGAAAGCAAGGAAGTCACATCAGAATTTCATCCTGATAAGAGACTATGCTACTGAGATTTTGTGTATTCCATAAACTAGAAAAGATTGGCTCGGGATGATGTCATGCTTGTGGAGACCCGTTGAAATCCGTGGGGCATTTCATTTCTCATGATACAGTCCCATGGATTTCAACAGGTCTGTTGCCTTAAAAATGGCGAAGCCCGAGTCTGTCCTAACTTCTGCAGCCCATTTTCAAGGGATGAAACACCGTTCTTGTGATCTTGAGGTGTTAAGATTGCGTGCGCAGCACAGGAAATGGATGCTGGCGTGTCGCTTCTCCCGCTGCAAAGCCACCTTCACTCGGGATCTTGGAGTTCTCACCTCAGCCCAGCTTCCCGCGAGGCTTGTGCTAGCTCAGTTACGGACACACGCTGGAAAGGGCGGCTAGGCATCCTTTCCGTTGACATTCCCCCAGCACAGCTGTTTCCAGCCAGGGTGTGTCGGACTGCAATTCCCAGCATGTTCCAGCCAGCATGGATGACGACGAGGAATGGCGGAACACCAGAACCACCCAGGTTGGGCGAGGTCGACCTGCGCCTCCGGCAATACTGCCTATTATCTCAACCCCTGGGGACAAATCAGCAGCAATGCATCTTTCTTAAGAATGTAGAAAACCACAATTGACCTGGGAAAGGGCGTTCTGCCGAAATTGGTCATCTTTTGCTCCTGCATCAAACATCAGGCATTTCTGATTGAGTCCGGCTCGTCCTCCTGGGCTCGCCATTGTGCCTTGTGCCGTGGCTTGAACGTTTGGATGTAGAGTCACCCTGCACTTCAGTAGAGTATAGACACACACACGGTGCGCACGCACACACACACACCCCGCCCCATTCTACCCCGGAGGCCGAGGAGAGCACGGATTTGCACCCACTTAGCGGGAAATCGGTGCGGCGGCGGCTTTTTGGGGACAACTACAGTTTGATTGTATTTGGACGGAGCGTTTTCTTGAATGTGGCAACTGTATTTAAGTGCACTAGTGTCTGTATTGTCTGTCTCTTATATTTAACCGGCCTCTTGGCGCCTTGCAAGAGGAGAAGGGAAACAAACCCCAGTGCTTTTCCTGTCAAACAAGCAGGTGTTGGTTTCTTAGAGCTCTTTGTGCAGCCGAGTAACACTGTGTGCAGCATACGTATGACCCACTGTATCCATTAGGCTATTGCAAAATAATTGGCCACTGCATCTCAGTCCTAAGTCTTGAGCTGCTGTTGCTTCAAAGTTCAGTTTTTACATGAGCCAGCCTGGAAGCTACTAGAAAAACTGCTACTCCATGGGAGAATGTTTGCTGTTTTCTACCCTAAAACCCTGAATATTGCTGTATGGCCTTTTATCAGAAAGGTGAATCTGTATTGTGGGACACAGGAAGCAACCGGAGTTCATTCTTCTGTTTTAGAAATACGACAGTGGAAAATAGCTGTAAATGTTACAGATGTAGGATATTCTCAATTAAACCCTTTGAAGACTAATGTCTTTGTGTCACCCGAGTCTTTCTCATCAGCCTGTCTAATTGACTTACTTTATAGATTGAATGAGGAATTCTTATGTTAAAGATAGCCATGTTGAGTATAAGAGGATTTCCATGTCGCAAGAGTAGGGCAGTTCTCAGATCACCCCTAATGTTTGCAAGCTTTTGGCTTCCCTTCTCCAGGCGCAAAGTTATCAGAACAGACGGGAGCAGGGACATGGAGAGTGGAGAAGTAAAATGAGACCAAGTCCCATTTTCTGTGAATTCAGACTAGTCCCAAGGTGTAGCGTTCCTGTGATGGTTACAGGTAGATTCCGCTGCCCATGGTTGCATGGGTAATCAGGCAGAGGGGATCCTCTTCATTTCCAGGCTATAAAGTCCACCATCCTGGTGGAAGCCCTTCAAACTGGTGCGCGTGGTGATTCATCAGTGCTGCTCAAATTCTGGGAAATTATCCCTTCCCACTTCGATCCTTCCTGCCCTGTACTCCTTAGGTGTGGCAGACTGGAGAAGGTTTGATGAGGTTCGTTACGTGCTGTCAATTTCTCTCCAAGTTAAGGTGACCCCGTGAATGGATGCCCTGATGGAATGGATTTTTCTGCAGCCCCGTGTGATCCCCCAAAATTTCTCTGGAAGGTCGGGACAATTTGGAGCAGATTTGGCTCATGTTCAAAGGGCTGGTGTATGGAAGAGAGAGTGAGGGAAGTCCTTTCCCAGGAGTCCCCATCCATGATGCTGGATCCAAGCCTCTCCCAGGCTTCCCCCATCTGGCATTCCCATCCTGGCTACAAATTCCAGTTTGCCTTCACTATGCTGATGCATCGGTCATTTTTTGGTCTGAATGTGCATAGGATTGCATCTTTAATTTTGAAAGCCTCGCTAATCCAGTTGTGAAAAGGTAGAGATAATGTAACGTAACTAAGAACCAGGCGGGTGCTTAGCTAACCAGGTTATTGCTGGAGGAACTCGCTTCCATGAAAAACGAGGCCAGGCAATGCAAGAGAGAGAAGGCCAAACACCAGCAGGATCTTATTCCAAGGAAAGTTCCACCGAGAGTCGGAGCAACCATTCCGCTCTGAGAATGAATTTGCCAATGAGATAAGTAGAACGTGTGCCTAAATTCCTAAAAAATTAGTTTTAAATTAATTTCAATCATTCCAAGATGCATTGCAGTCCCCACAGGAGATACTTGGCATAATCCCTTTCACTGAAGAAACAGAAAAAAGCAACAAGCAATGTGGGAGCTGACCCGTGTCAGTGCATCGTCCTGAATTTATAAAAAGACACGCACACCACTCTCAGTTTCTAGCGAATCCCGATATCTCAAATCAGCAAATTCTTTTCTAAGTTGGCAGCTTCACAACTGATTCTCTGTTTCTGGTGCAGAATGGCACTAGCTCCAGCAGGCAGAAATGTTCCCCAAATGTTGCCTTTTTAAAGGCTTGGATAGCCCTTTGTTTGAGACCGTCTCATTTCACCACTGATAAAAAACAGACAGCTGGCGCAGAATGGCATAGAAGTCACTCCCAGAGGCTTAGGTGAACAAGTCCCTGATGGCACAGCTGATTAGGCTAATTGGCGTTTGTACTGGGCCCCTTTTCCTCCTGGCAAACACAAATTAGCGCTACGCTTCCCCGAAAAGGAACAAAAGCCTTCCTGCCATTCACTGTATCACATTAAAGCGCTGGGACATTATGTTCTTGCGCTCTGCAAACAACGTGGTAACACCTCAGAAGCTCTTCCTAAATACAGATTCTGCAGTAGAGCAAACTTTGGGGTTCACGAAACATCCACCTTCTGCGTGCCCTTGAGCGCTAACTTGATGGGGGCTGAACCTTTGGACTTCTGCTGATTCTAGCTGGCTTGCAGGGCTGCACTCGGTTCTCTTTTCCCAGTTGGATGCATTTCTTTTCCTTTGTGCAAAAGAAATTCTTTTTCTTCCTGTGCTGAGAGTCTGCGACTGGCCCAGACAAAGCACCTGAGAAAGGACCACAGAGACCTCACTCCTAGGCCTGCCTGTCTTTGCCGTCTTCCTTCCTCCTTCCCACAAGCCTGTGAGGAACTGGAGCCGGAGAACTGAGCACCAAGTGTGGCGTCGTGGTTAAGAGCCTGGGCCTGGGACTCAGGCGATCTGGGTTCGAGTCCCCGCTCAGCCATGGAGCCCACTGGGTGACTTCAGGCTCTCAGCCCAGCCTACCTCACAGGGCTGTTGTTGTGGGGAGAAGATGGAGGAGGAGAATGAGGTGAGCCACTTTGAGTTTGCTCAAGTAAATAAAATGATTGGAAACCAAACGTGACTTTGTCTTCTGGTGTCTTGAACTCATTGCCTGGACTGGATGCAGCTTTGGAATTGGACGTCCAAGCAACAGACCGCTGGACTGCTACCCGTCTCAGTTTTGCTTTGGCTGCACCTTCCAGCCTTGAGGGACTTTAGACTCCGCTACCTGTCTGCTAAAGAAACCACCAACTCGCTTGATAAACCGTCCCTTGGATCACGCCTGCTCATTGGCCTGCTTTGAATTTGCCGCTCGAGCACCTTAATCCAAGACTGACCCAGCCTGAACGGAGCAAGAGGCAGCAGATCAGCCACGGAGGCCGCAGAGGCCCTGTTGGGGGTCAGCCTCTGTGATTCCCCCCCCCCCGCAACCTCCAGCTTGAAGGCTTCCCACGGCTGCTGATAGTCGCCCCAGAACTCTGCTGCACTCCAGCTGGTGGGGAAGTAGGAAGAGCCCTGCCGTTTTTGCACCCAACAGATTAAAAGTATTAAAAAGAAATGTGTATGTGAAAGAGAGAGAGGGAGAAGGGTGCATTATGGTAAAGTCTGCATGTGGCCCAGGGAGTGCTCACCAGGGTGGAAGTAAGATTAATCTCCCGCCTTGTCGGAGTTGCTACCTGGAGTGGGAGGAGTTATTTTCTCCATCTCAGGCACAGACAAGCTTTGGGATTTCGGCCCGGCATTGCTGCATCACAGCCCTGCATCACTTGTGGACAATGGGCTAAACACGAGCCAACAGTGCGATGCAGCAGCCAAAAGCGCAAATGCTATTTTGGGATGCATTAGCAGAAGTATTACTTCCAAATCACGAGGAGTAGAAGTTCCCCTCTGCTCCTCACTAGTCAAACCCCATCTGGAATACTGCATCCTGTTCTTGGGCACCAAGACTGAAGAAAGATGCAGATAAATTAGAAAGGATCCAGCAGAGGGCGACAAAAATGATCCAGGGTTTGGAGACACTGCCCTGTGAGGAGACTGAGAGAACTGGGCATGTTCAGCCTTGGGAAGAGAAGACTGAGGGGGACATGGGATTCCTCCATAAGTACCTCAAAGGCTGTCACAAAGAGGAAGGCCAAGCTCTCTGCTTGCTGATGCCAGAGTGTGGGACACGGAAGAATCAAGTCAAGCTGTGACAACCCAGATTCAGGCTGGACATCAGGAAAAGCTTCCTTGCTCTCAGAGCAACACAGCAGTGGGACCAGCTGCCCGGAGAGGTGGGGGCGCTCTCCCACCAGAGACATTCAAGGTGAAACTGGGCAGCCATCTGAGTGGGATGGTGTGAACTGGTGTCCTGCAGCAGCAGGGGGTGGACTTGATGGCCTTCATGACCCCTTCCAACTCTGCTATTCTATGATCCATATGGATAACTCGCTCCCCCCCCCCCGTGTCCAAGGTCACCGTTAACCTTCTTGATCTGGACTATACGTCACAAGCGATGACCGCTTCACTTAGCATGATTTGAGAATGTAGCTTTTGATGCTTGGTCCTTGCCATTTGGGGCGAGAACTGAAATCTTTGCAGCTGGGTTTCTTAAAAGCCATTGCAGTTCTTTTCCCAAATTGAGGCTTGCATGTTTGCTTAAGGTGGTTTTGCAGGAAGGAATGCAAAGCGAAACTATCCAGCACTTGTTTGTGAGGGAAAAAACGATCAAACCCGGCTGCGTCCCCAGCTGCTCTGCAGATTTAGCTTTTGCAGCAGGGCTACCCTCACCTTGGAGATGCAGCTGGGAGTGGGGGGAATTCTGTTTCCCCTGTGACACCTGAAATAATATATATTTTTTAAATGTTATTCACGTTTTTATACTGGTTTCCATAAAGTGACCCAAGCAGTGAGCATAAAATAGCCTGGCATTAAAATAACCATGCACAGAACGATAAAATTGAAGCCACCCTGTTACTCTGCACTGAATTGCCTGCCACGCATAGCTCGAAATGTGCTCGAGGTGCATCAGGCCCCAGGGAACGCTTGCAGCCTTTCAGTATCCCCTACCTCAGTAGAACATAGCACAAAAACAAGAGGGGTCCAAAGAAGTGCCTGCAGGGATAATGCAAGACAAAAATATGCTTCTGTTTCAGGCTGGCTTGAACTTCCCTCCACCCTGTTAACTACTAATTCAATTCAATTCTGTCTGTCTGTGCCATAGCACGAAGGCCATGAAATCTGGACTACTGAAACGCTAAGGGATCCATAGAGGGATTCCCTGGGGAGTTATTGCTTAAAATGTGAATTAATTTAAATTCTTTCAAATGTGCTCATGTGGTTGAAGCCTCTAATAGTATTTCCAGCCACTGGGGCAAATTTCTCTAAGGAGGACATCGCAAAGTCCCCACGGTTTGAAGCTAGAGAGACTTTGGGGCTCCACGGGTGTCTTCCGTAAAGCTCCGTGCATCAAACTGCACCACCCTTCTTTGAAGTCCTCAGTAGTTCTGCCTTCCCACTTTTGCTCCATCTTTTTTTTTAATAAATTTTATTAAGATTTTTAAACTAACACTAAAGACATCAATCATCAAATACATCAGACGTACTGGGTCAGCCCCCTACTCCTATTTTTTAACGTTCTATAGTCATATTCAAATTCATTTATAATAACTTAAAAATATATTTAAATTTAAGCCAAGTCCTGTTTCTCTAGCCAATAATAAAAAAAAATCCCAATTTTGATAGAAGTCCACTTTTGCTCCATCTTGTCCGTAACTTCTTCTGGACCAGCAGCCGCCCCGGGGGATGTAGGACATTCCATTTGGGGCAGAACCATATATGGATAAAAGTTGTTCCTGCTCAGATGCGCCCGTTGTAGCTTTGCACAAAAAGCATGGAGAGAAGAGGAGAGATCATTCTGGGAAAGTTTTTCTTGCCTGAAATGATGGAAGGGACTTAAGCAGTAAGGGTACCAAATGTACTGGCCTTCTGGAACCAGTTCCGCCATTCTTTCTGTCAACTCAAAAGATTGATTAAGTGCATTTTCATTTGCTTTCTGGCTCCAGCTTCTACTTGTTCTGCTCCTGGCCAGCTCTGGAGCTCACTGGGAACCTTTGCATCATTTTAACCGGTGGTGATATCAACGAGATTCATTCCCGATGCCCATTCTCCCTGCCCTCCTGGTTCTTTTTCTCTCGATGTGTCCCGGTGTCCTCCTTAAAATGGGGTCTCAGAACTGGACACAGTACTCCAAACACATAAGGAGATGAGAAGGGGTGTGTTGGATACTTGGCACAAAGTCATGAGCGCTAGAGCGGTTGTGAGTCTTCTCCTCCATGAATTTGTGCAGTCTCTTTTGAAAGTCCTCCAAGTTGGGCTTTAGAAGAAATCCTATTTCTTGGAAGTGAAATACATAGTTTAACTGCACCGCATGACTCATAAAATGAGTGATGTTTTTGTTTGTGCTTTTTCAGTGAACTCCACGATTTTTCCTGTTCTTTTTGGGCAGCGGCTACAGGTCTGGCAGTCTCTGCTCAGAATATTGCTGTTCCCAAAACTTGAAGGATGTGGAACCCCCTAGTTCGAAACATAGGGATAAGAAGCCCTGAGCGGATTCCTGTACAAGTCACAGCAAATGCTATTTACAGAACAGTTTGCTAGTGCCTAGACCTTTGCTGACCATGCTAAAATTAGAAGAAATTGGAGGAAGAACTTTCTGTAAATAAATGCATTTTTTACATTGCTGTTCAGCTAAAAATCCCCCTCTGGCCTGTTTCATGGCACAAACCCTCGGAATGGAACAGGACGGAGGTTGGAACTTTTCTTATATTACATTACAATTCCAGTCCAACTTTCTTCCTTTTGTAAGGAGCCCACGGAGACTCTCTTCTCCTTCTTAGCCTCACAGCAATAACCCTGTGAGGTAGGTGAGGCTGCGAGTCAGAAGCCATCCTTGAGTCACCAAATGGACTTCATGGCTGAGTAGGGACTTGAACCCGGGTCTCTGGACTCCCAGCCCAGTGCTGTTACCCACTACACTGCACTGGGATGAGATCAAGGAATATTTTCCTCCTGCACTTTCCCATTGCTCCTTGCATCTATTTTCTTCCAGCAAAAACCTGCAATGGCAGAACAGATATAAAGGCCTACAAAGGGGACGGGCGGTGGAGCTTTCCATGTAAAAGCAGCAGAAGAGGGAGAAGGAGGGAATGGGGCAGATAAAAGCAACCAAGCACCAGTCCTTGGCTACAACGCTAAATCTACATACTGGTTTGGGTAACATAGAAACAGAGAAACAGAGTGAGTCAGAAGGGGCATCCCGGGCCATCTAGCCTGACCCCCGGCTCTGCTCATGACATGCCCACCATATGGACGTCCAGCCTGTCCTTGAACACCCGCACCGATGGGGCACCAACTGCCTCCCGTGGAAGCCCATTCCACACCCTTGGGGTCCCAACTGTCAGGAAGTGCTTCCTGGCATCCAAACTGAACCTTGGTTCCTTGAGCTTTGCTCCGCTGGAGCATGTTCTGCCTTCCTCCAGATCCACTAACCAGTGGGGGTCGAGGGGGGGGTCATGGAAGCCACAGGCCACAGTATCTTGGGGGCTGCAAGTTGCCCCTGCTGGCCTATTACTTGCAGGCTGCTTTTGCTTGGGCATGTCCAGAACCCCAACAGAAGCCCTTCCCACATGCCCATTCTGTAGGATAGTTGGGTGGGTGGGTATTATTATTATTATTATTACACTGCATTTCTATTTTTCCTCCCTCCCTCTCTCCCTCCCTATTGTGAGGAACCCAGGGCAGCTTACAAAGCTCCCTTGCATTCCCGCCACAACAACCCTGTGAGGTAGGCTAGGATGATAGTGCACGGGCAGCAGGGCTCTTCCCATGACTGATTGTCACCGAGGATCCAGCAGCCCACAACTCCTGAAAACTTACTTCACTCAACTGTGTGTTTTATTGTTGTGCTTTACGAATTTGTATGAGTCTATTTTATTGGGAGGGCTTCTGCCAGAGAGGCGGCCTACAAGTGTGAGTGCATGGCTTATGCATGACTGCTTAAAAAAATCCTAAAAACAGTATATTCTATCCATATATAATGTGCATGCAGTGTCAGGGATCGATTCCAATTTTATGTAAGGAAAAAATGGGATTTCCCCATCTTTCCCCCTTCTTTCTTTTTGTGTTTTGTATTGGTATGTTGCTCAGATTTTATTTATTTGGAGTTTTTGTATGCCGTCCCATTTGCAGAAGCCTCGGGATGGCTTCCAACATAATAACATATAAATAATTCATTTAAAAATACATATACAGATTTCCCGTACGAACGAATTCTATTCTATATCACAAGAGATACCAAGCACCAAAATGGCACCGTGGTTGGAGTGTTGGACAGGGGCTGGGGCATCCAGGTCCTAGTTCCATTGTGCCATGAAAATCAATGGGGGATTTGAGGCCAATCCCTGGTCCCAGCCCAGCCTACCTCACAGGGCTGTTGTTGGGAGGATCTGCTTGGGTCCCGTGCAAAAGGAAAAAAGGTGGGATTTAATTGCGACAAGCATGTATATGTATATGTAAATACGTACAACTGTATTTTAAAAACAAAGATCCCCCAAAGCTCAGGAACAGGCAGGATGACGTCAGGGACGCGGGCGCTGGCGTCACTACGCCCCGCTTTCCTCCCCCGCCCTTCCTTCTTGCGCAAAAGCCTCCGGGAACGTCCCACCCGCAGCTCGCCGGCGTCCCCGCCTAGCGGTTCCCATAGCAACCCCGTTCACTCCGCCTCGCCCCCTGCCAATCCCCGTCCGGCGCCGCCGCCGCGTCCATTGGTCTCCCTCACTAGGGTAGGCGGGGCAGGGGCTCGGCAGGGGAGGGGAGGGCGGCGGCGGCGGCTCGCGCTTCGCCATCGCAAGGAGAGGGGGCGCGGCGGGGGAGTGAGGCTGAGGCGGCCCGCGCTTAGCCTATCGGAGGGAGCGGTGGGCGCGGCCTGGCGGCGCGCGGCCGGCGTGGGACTATAAAAGGCCGGAGGCGCGGCTTTGTCCGAGGCAGCGCTGAAGCGGCGCCCTGGTTCCCGGCCACGCGAGTCCCGGAGGTGAGCGGAGCCCGCCCATTCTCTCTGGCGGCCCGGGTCGAGGGTAGTTCTCCCATTTGCTGGGGCGCCGAAGGCTCCCCGGCAGCCTCACCGTCCTTTTCAGGCGCCGCAAGGGTGCTGGTGGTGGTGGAGGAGAAGGGGGATGGGCGAGGCGAGTGTGCTTTGCACATGCTCAGGGGCCTCCGCGGCTGGCTCCCGCGCGCTCCCAACGGCGGGGCGCGGTTGTGGGTCCGCTGGGCCGGCGGCCCCTTTTCCCGTCCCGGCACGGGTGGGGTGGTGCCCGGGGGGATGCTGCGGGTCTGCTCTTCATCCCCGCCGCATGCGGTGGCGGGGCGGTTCCGGGCTCCCCGGGGACGCCTGCGGCCTCCGTGCCGGGCGCCCGTCTGCCTGGGCCTTTCCGATCCCTCGCCGGCTCGGGGGGCGTCGGGGGGCCACGGGCGGGAGGGGCCGGCAAGCCCGTGTGGGCGCCTCTGGGCGGGAGTGGCAGGGCTCGCTTCTCCGCCGGCTTGGCCCCCCTTTTCGCTCCGCATCAACCCGCCTTGCCTTGAAACGGCCGTGTAAATCCCCTCGAAACAGCCGTCCTGAAAGGCTCTTGGCTCTTAGGTTCTCCGTGCTCTCTCTTCTCCTCTCTCCCTCTCTTGCCTGTCTTTCCCTTTCTCCTTTCTTTAAACCTTTGTCTTCTTACCTGGATAAACTCAACGTTTTCTACACTCTCCCTTTATCCTGCCTAGGTCACCTTTTTCTTAAGCTCGTATCCTGTGGTTTCACTTTCCCTTTCTCTGATTTCTGCTTTGTTTCCTGTTTTTTTAAAAAAACTGGAACCATTGCTGTGTTGCATCAGCCAGTGTCTCTTCTCTGCACTCTGTGCATCTACTGCATGTATCCCCTTTTTGTACATCACTTCTGCGTCTCTCAAAAACTTGGTCTCTGGCGCTTCGTTCAGCAATGGCAGCAGACACTTCCCGGTCCTGAGCTGCTTGCCATCTTTAGTTTAACCCTGGAGCAGGCTGTGGAAGGGAGGCGAGGCTGTGCAGCGGAGGAGCAGGTGTTGGGCTTGGATTACACCGAGCTGGGTTGCATTTCATTTGGAGGTGAGGAACCAGAGGTTGAGTCAGAGACTTCTAAGTGCGTGAAGCCCCGTTGTACCAGTTTGGCTGAACTGGGTTGCTGACTGGCCCTGGTTCTCTTTTCCTTTGCCCAGTCAGTCCCTGCGAACAACCAACGCTGAACCTGTGGTCTGCGAATCACACCCCATCGCCTCTGCGTTTCAGAGAGAGAGAGAGGGAAAGCAGGCATTATGTAAGTCTTTTGGGAGAATGGTTATCCTTAAAGCAGGCCAAGAGGTGTCCTGCCTTAAATAGCATCATCTGCTCCTCCTCCCTGGAGTTGCGTGTGTCCCTAGCAGCCTTTGCTTCGTGCCCGCTTGGATGGGCTCGCCACCGCCGCTTCGGTTGGCTTCGCTCTTGCATGCCTCCTTTTTGTAGTGCCACACTTAAAACCGTGCTCTTCCGTATTTATTCTCTGTTTCTCAAATGCTGCCCGTGTATTTGGCATTTCCCAAGACTCTGCGGTGCTCTCCTAGGCTTTCTGCATTACATCAAGGAAGGCCAGTGGTCCATGCAGCTCTCTGTTCCCCCTGTCGACTGGAAGTTGTGTGCAGAGTCTCTCAGCCCAGCCGGGACTTCTTGGCACCCAAGCGTGAATTGTGCTGCTAAGCTGCAGCCTTTCCCTGAATAATATTCCCTGCTCCACCCATGTTTTTTGTTGGCTGTTCTTCCTCTCCTCTGTTTCCCCCCCACCCTGCTGTTCCGTCATTCCCTGGGGGGCTGTGTTCTGTGAGGGCATTTGCCTCGCAGTCCCTCCCTCCACCCAAGCCTTTCTTGGGCTGGTCCTGCTAGTAAGCAGAGCGGGACTCTCCTCTCAGGCTGGGGTAGCAAGGACGGGAGCCGGACTGGTGCCTTGGGTGGTGGAGGCCCTGAATGCAGGAGAGGCTGCAGATGCTGAGGAGCGCTCCTGCAGACCAGCCGGCCTTTGGAAGCTGGCCAGTTCGGGGAGGCAGCAGGCCTAGAGGAAGGAAGGAATCCTAAAACCATGCCTCCCTGCACTGGCTTCACCCCCTTTAAAATATGAGCGTGCCTTTTGGGATACGAAGCATCCAGTGGGGAGGGGACTTGGGCTCAGCTTCTCTGTCCTTTCCCTTCTCTGCCATGCCCCCAGCTGAAAGCACACGGAGCAGTAAGCCCCAGAGATCCGAGTTCCCACATTTCCCACAACGTTCTTTTTGCCTCTGGAGTTCCATCCTTGGCAGGAAGGCAGCAAGTACGTTAAGCCTTTGGTCGCTTTTGTTCTGTGCAGAATGAAATGGCTCCTGTATCTTCCTAAAGCAAGCACCCCCCCCATGTTTCTGCACACTTTGGGGGTGTTTCCTCCACCTCCCCAACCAGCAGCCACCACTGGGCAACCTGGGGACGCCTGGGCTAGTGGAGCTCCTTGCCCGCTGTGGCGTTTCTTTTGCACTGTATCGGAGTTGTCCAGGGTACGCAACTCAGTCCCCGGAGTAGGTTTGCTGCCAGAGTCCCATGGACACGGCTACAAATCTGCAAAGAAATGTTGCAGTGCCCCAGGAGCTATGCTTCCCAGCCCCTCACCCCATAAGTCTGCCAACGGGGCAGTTTGTGAAGCATTCGTCTTTGTTAGCTCTTCACTGGAACCCCTTCATCATTTCTGCTTCCCCACGAGGGGTACCGATGGAAGGGGCGTCACTGGTAGTGCCTTTCTGGGGTCTCCGTTAACATCTGAAGGCAACACAGGAAGAATTGGTTGTGATGAAGCATCCAGTCAGTTGTGACTAGCCCCCTAAAGCCCATCTCTGGGGAGAAGGTGGGTTATACTTGAACGAGTTCCATTACTTTAATGGTCAGGAGCATGTTTGTCTCTCTCTTAGCCATGTCTGTTCCCCGATTCAACTTGGAATCCCTCTCTGCTGTAGGAAGCCAAATAATTTTTAAATAAACAAAAAGTCTGTTGGCTCTTATGATGAGAACTTGCCCATAAAATGTATTCTTGTGGTTGAATTTGCACTCTGAAAACTTGTTTGAAAATTGCTTCAAGAGTGTATCATTCCCCTCCCCTTCCAGAAGGAAAATATAACATGGTCCTCTTCTCTTGTATATTATCATTTAATGTGGGATTGCAGAGTGCATCCTCCACTTTCTTTTGAACTTCCATTTTATTGCCACTTTAAACTGCCCCCCCCCCCCCCCGCTACCCCACAACCCGCTGTTTGCATGTGTCGCTCCTGCAGCAGCTGAAGAGGCAACACACGGCAGATAAATGCAGATAAATTGTCCGCCGGTTCTGGCGCATAGCTGTGCCTTGTAACTGCAGCCCAAGCGCCTCTTCGTTGCTCAATGCATTGTGAGAGCCAGAGGCCAAACTAGTGCTCGCCAGGCATGAGTCAGGAGTTATGGGCTATAATTAGAGAGTGTCTTGAAATGTAAAATGCACATTTCTGAGTGAAAGATTTCTGGGAAAGCAACTTGCTGTAATAGAGCCCAGGGCACGAATGTGAGCAGCTGGGTAAACACAGGGGTAGCTTTGTGGACAGTGTCCACAAAAGGTTAAAAATAAAATGCTGTTAAATGTACACTGCCTGGATCTTCATGCCCGACATGTGAGAAGAGCCAACCTAAGAGCACGTTCCTAAAAAATATCCCGAAAACGTCATCTTGGGACATGGGAGTTGAATGAGATTACTCTGTCTGAACTTTTATAGGATGAGACCCTAAGTTAAGTGCTTTTATTAAGGTACCTCCTTAACTTCCATTAGGAACATCAGTGATACATGCCTCCTTCCCCATGGACTGAACTCAGTGGGATTTATTTCTAACTATAGGATTGCACTGTTAGAAGCTCAGTCTTGTGCATGTTGAATGTAGGGGTAGCTTAGACTGGGATAATTCTCATAAAATAGTTGACACAATAACACGCAAGGCACAACCACTGCAGAGCACAGTTCTAAGGATCGAGAAATAAAAAGATGCCACAGGTAAAAGAAAAATTACTGAACAGCGTTTCAGTTAGTTGGAAGAAAATATGCATGCAAATTATTTACCTTGCTTTCTAAAACATTATAGACTTAAATTCCATTGGGCCTCCTTTTTCAGCTAATTTTGAAGAGAAGGTGTCACTACCAAAAATGCCAAAATCCGTTTTTTGTTCTGCTGCTCGTTCTAACGGGGGTAGAAGTCGTTCTTCACGTTTTCTCTTAACATGTCCCGAGTTTCAAGGCTGCCTCCCTGTGCCTGCCGGCCATATGGAGGGATGGATGCCATCCTCGCCCTAGAGCTTGGGGTAAAAGTGGGACCAGTCTCGGCCGGAGTCCCAGTCAAGCTTTCAATTTTGGAGAGTCTTATGAATGAAAGCAAAATGTCTTGTGGTAACAGACATGATGGATACAGGGCATTGGCATAATTATCGGTCTCTCATTCTTGTTGTGCAAGGTTCTCCTGCACTTCAAAAGGTAATTGCATTTAAGGTGTGGCGTGTGGTGTTGGATGGTGTGACTTGGACAACTGCAATACAAACTGCCTGAAAGATTTTACTATTTCTAGCATCGATTCATTTCAAGAAGGCCAACGTGATGAATAGAGGGCATTGGCATAATTCCAGGAATCCTCCCAGGTCGGGGCACACACCCATCTGGATAACTCTTAATCGGCGGCACCACACGAGGGGTGCATCTGTGCGTTGCTTGCTCTCCGGCTGTCAAGGCAGATAACAAAGACGTTTGTAGAGCAGACTGCGAGGACGCAAGGCCTGAAATAGCTACCTTCATTCTTATAATAATTCGGCTACATGGAGTATAGAGCTTCACCATTGTTGTCCTCACAACAACCCAAACATGAGTTAGGTTAAGGGTGTGTGGTGGTGATTTCCCAGGAAAGCTCAGATAGAAGGTACCAGTTCTGGATTACTGCTGGCTCCAACAGGCTTTTCAACCCGAGGCATTGGCTGTGCTCTTTTTAACCAATTTAAAGTTTTAAAGTTTTAACCAATTTTCAGGTTTTTTAAGCATGAGGAGAATGCAGCGTTTTCCCAGATGATGCCATGAGTTGCTACAGAAGTCCTGGACAAATTCTGAATTCCACTGTCTACTGCAGTTACCTCTGTTGTGTAAGGCAGATATAGAAGACACAGAAAGGCACGCAAGGTAGAGCAGCCCTTTATTTTCAGAAAAAGGTGCGGAGATCATCCATGGTTTGTTTCGCCATCCCAGCCACCCAGGGCAGCCTTGCGTACAGCCAGAAGTAGTCTCAGCCCCTGTCAGAGCCAAGCTGGGGCGCCTGCATTGTCTTCCCGCATTTCATATTTATGCCGTGACTAAATGCAGCCACCACGATGGTTTAAACGTCATCCTCACACTGTTGTTTCATCATCTTACCGGGAAGGTTTGCATAATATTTGGCGATGTCTCCGTTAGCTGTTCAGGGTATTGCCGTTATGCAAATGTGGGAATCTTTTGGGGGAAAGCAGTTACATGTGCCAAGAGAACCGGAGAGAGTGGGTATATTGGGTTGTGCAATCGAAACCAAGTTTATTCAGACGTACAGGAAATAGATGTGGCACGTAGGCAGCCCAAAAAGGGACTATGAAGATGGAGTCTCTGCAAGACGTTTTTATAACCTGTCAGTTTGTGTTTATACACAGTTTGGAGGAGTGGCCGGGGGGGTGGGGGTCACCTAGGCAGCTTGCTAGAGGTGCAGGAGTGTAAAGCCAAGAAGATTGACTGGATTAAGACACCATGAAAGAGAGACCTTTCAGGACAAGCCAACATTAGCCTATTTAAAGTGGACCAAAAGGGGAAGCTTCAGGACTGGCACATGTTAGCATAGCTAAGGTGCACTTCGGGAGCAAGCTTTGCAGCGTGGTTTCCTGATCAGACGAGGATCCTTAAGTCTAAGGGTGTTTGTAAGGGCAGGCTTTCAGCAGCCATATTATGGCAGAGCTTTGGCGCACTTTGTCCCGACGCGTGTACTGGTGGCTAGAAAGTAATTTCCCTGATTGCTGGCTGTGTCTCCCGGTTCCTCATTCTTGTGGCTGGAATTATTGCTTCTCTTGGATTCTTCTAGGGGCTGCACAACACAACACAGTATAACAATCGCACTGCTTTTCAGAGGGTGCAGTTCACTTTGAAGAAGCAGCAGCTGCGTGGACCTAAAATGGCTGCGTCCCGCATTGGGTTGGTGCTGTGTACCGTTTGCACGTTGAAAGTTGTGTTCTCTCCTCTTAGCCCCCGAAAGTGGTGCCTGCTAAGCAAGCAGAGGACCTTCAAGGGAGGATGGGATGGGGAACTGATTTTCAGGTGAAGCTTCCATATGGGCCTAGTCCAGACTGGTGATTATCTTTCAAAATGAAAGTGGCACCATGAAACATATTTTTAAAGCGTGGTGAGCAGTGGCATCTTTTGCTCCACTAGGGTATTTCCCCGTTGTGGCTCCTTTTGAGAAACCATATTGGGCTCATAGTAACATGCTCAAGTGGCAGAGCTTAAAAAAAAATTAAAGGTTAAAAAATAAGTGTTTGCTTGTTTCAATGTGAGAACAGAGCCTGAAAGAACTTCCTGTTCCAGCAACCGAACCCAAGAAGTCCCTCCTCACCACCTTTTCAGGGGTCAGTAACTCTCCGTAAATAGCTCTGTGGATACTGATAGAGCTATCGGGCTATTATCATAAATGACCTTTTTGTTTTGTGTTCTCAGCCTACCTTGCTGGTGTTTGGCCAGGTGACATTTACCTTTTCGGTGCTTTATTACAAATCTCTGATTTCCTGGCCGCCTAGAGTGCAGTGTTGCCAGTACAGAAGGATCTGGAACAGAAGCGCCCTTGACAGCCACCTGTCTGTAATCACACACTGGGGAAAGCTTATCTTAAAGTTGCCCCCCCCCCCCCCCCCGGCACTGTGAAGGTGCCTCTTCTGCCTTGAATAAGAGATCTGCTCAGACAGCCAGTGCAGTTCTGGATTTGGTGGCCGTACCTCATAAACCTTCCTCATTTGACCTTGAGGTAAGGCACAACTAGCATCAGGGACATATCTTTAAAATGGGTGCACAGTTTCTACTACGTGTGTTTCAGGAATTCTGACAGATGCGTCAGTGCTGGTGAATTTAAATACAAATACATTGAGGCTCGTGCACGGAACATGCTGCAGAATTGAGCAATAAGGCCTCGTATGACTGGGATGGGGAAGCGGATGCTGCCTCCTGATAAGAGGCGATGTTTGTTTCAGCCCTGCTTGCAAGGGAAATAGGAAGGCGCATAAAATTTGTGTAGCAAAGGGCTGTGCCGGGTGGATCTTGGAAGGTTTTCTGGCTGGGCTAGTGCTGCAGCCCCAGTGCGGCTGTCAGAATATTGAGGGAGCTGTAGCAAAAATGACAACCCTCGTGGCTTCTCAAAGGCTGACAAGTTTATTCTGCCGTAAGCTTTCAGTGGATTCTTTCAGTGGTGTGGGCTCTAGCTCATGAAAGCTTATAAAAGGGCCGCTGTTAGTCTTTAAGGTACCACATGACCCCTTATTTACGGTTAGGACTGTGTCGAGTTTTGGGTGAACATTATATTTGTTCACGAGAGTAACTTTTGCTCTGCTAGCTAGCTGGAGTGAATTGTTCTTAGTTGTCGTGGGTTTGCTTTGCCTGTAACATGGCCCAGTTTGGGTACTCGAGTGATGTCAGTTTCATAGGTCACCAATGTGCTGCCTCTGTCCCTCTCTTTCTTTCTGCTATTTCTTTATTTCCTTTGGTGGGTTCACCGTGGCTTTACGTTCTCCCTAGCTGTGTGGTTTGAATTTTCACCGGTAGCTTTTCATCCTAAAGTTAAATTTAAAACATCTGGCCGATAGCACCTATAATCAGAAGTAAGCACACTGCATTCTGTTTTCAGGGCAGCCAATGGTCATATGTGAATTTAGCCTCCCCTTACTGGGGAGGAGAGCGTGTGGTGTAGAAATCGAATGGCGCATGCATGCATGCCTGCCCTGGAAAGCGACATTCCTATCGCTTATCCCCTCCGAAAGCCTGTGTGTATTCTGGGGCGGTGTTATTTTTAAACCAAACAGACTGTACTGCGGTGTTTCCATCTTGTGCTGGACTCATGCGTTATGTGTGCACAAACACACACACCCTCTTCTGTGTACCCGTGGGTGACACCCGCTCCCTTGCGAGCACTCATTGGCTTAGCAGGGAGGCCGTGCCCTATAAGTATCACCCCCTTTCGCTTGGCCAGGCCTCTTGCAGTAAGGGAGGTAAGCTCTGAGAGACAGACAGAGGGGATGTTGCATCATCCTCTGTCTGAGGCTGTGGGAACGAAGACTCATTTTACCTTAGGTCGATTTCTTCAAAAATGGCATTGTACTGAGTTTTCTGTCTTTCTGTCTGGCTGCTTCTCCAAGTTGCCAAGTACTAACGCTTGATGCAGCTGTCAGCAGAATTTTAGTAATTTAGCATAAATATCACTTCCGTGGAGGGCTGCAGTTTGGCTCTATTGCTGCTCTCTGTGAAAATTAAATTTGACAAAGCACGCTTTGTCACTGTTGTGGGTGTGCAAAATAACTAGTTTCGGGGTCTCTGTAGGAAAATGGCTTCTGTGTTGTAGTAATTCCAGGCTGGCACTCTGTGCTTGTAAAAGAGGTTCTGTGACTTCATCTGTTGTTTTGAGCCTGCAGATGGGTTCCTTTGTCCTGGCTTCTGATTTACAAGCCACCGGGGTAGCTAGAACCTTTGGTTGGGATCCAAAGATTTGTACAATCAGGCAGGAAACTAATTTTGGCCGGTGACTAGGAAAGGTTTGCGTGTTTCAAAATGCATCTCATCCAGATGCAGCAGGAATTTGTGCTAGAAACGTGGTTTGCACAGGCGTGGCACTAATTTGTTGAGCATAAAATCTACATGGTTATCGGTCTCTCATTCTGGTCAAACCATTATGCAAGGTTCTCCTGCATTTCAAAAGGTAATTGCATTTCAGGTGTGGGGTGTGGTGTTGGATGGTGTGACTTGGACAACTGGAATACAAACTGCCTGAAAGATTTTACGATTTCTAGCATCTATTCATTTCAAGAAGGCCAACGTAGGAGGATTTCTGGACTGGGCGCTGTGTCAATATAGCAAGAGGGCTTTGCCGTTTCGCTTTCCTGTCCTGACTGCATAGCTTCCCTCCCCACCCTGCCCTGCAGAAGTTCGTGGGACAACTGGCCGGCTTGCAGAACGGTTCTGAAATAGGGGAGCTGAGCAGCAGAGCTGAATACCGGCTATATATAAACAGCTATTGCTAGGGAGAGCTCTCAAGCAACTGGTGTGTCTGGGGCGGATGCCATTCCCTGGAAACCTCCAGTGCCGGCTCTGTGTTGCTTCAGCCCCAGGGCCTTTTGCATTTGGGGCATGTGCCCCAGCACTGAGACAGAAGGAGCCCCCGTCACTGTAGCGCATGAGGGCTAGTGCTCCGGGGGTCAGCTCTGCCCGAACAGGCTTTGTTGGTGGAACCTTGCACTAGTAACCATAACGCTTTCGGTTTCCTTCCAGCTCTCTTGAACGATGCCAGCTATCAAGGCTTTGAGCCGAGCTGTCCGGGAGGTGCTGCAGAACCCTGGCTGCGGCTGCCGGGTTGCTGTCGTGCCAGTTCGGTGCCTCGGTTTCTCACCCCGGCAGGTAACTTCGGACGCCAGCTTCCATTCGGTATCTTTCTCGGAAACGGATCACCCACGGGTGTTAATTACAGGTCAGTCTGCTTTTTCCGTAGCATCCAGACAGGTCTTTCCTGTGTGGTGTTTGAACTTCCTCGGAGCTGCTCACAGCTAGCCACGTCCTGATAGTCCCCTGATTTTATGGACAGCCTGGGCTTGAGGAGACAGTGGAAGAGCAGGGAGCCTCCCCCATGCCTGTCCCAGAGCCCAGGCCATCTTTATCTTGAGCAGGGCTGAGGAGACCTTAGGCCTGTGGGTCTGGTCAGTTTTGCACCAGAAACCTGAGGCCCAGGGGAGAGATCTATGCAGCAAGCAATGAATCACAGAATGCCTCTCGACCTAAGCTCAGCCCAGGAACTTGGATCAGCGCCGGTCCCAAGCGCAGGCAGAACTCCTCTTGCACAAAACCGGGCTCTTGATTTCTCCCCTAGCTGTCCTTTCTTAGCAACCTCATTGAGAGGGGAAGGGCTTGTGGCTTGCTGGACTACTAGGAGCCAGGAACCGCTGCGGATGTACTGCAGGTCATCCAGAGATCTGTTGGTCGCTCCTGACATATGTTCCCCCCACACTGGCTCAGATAACAAGCCGACTTTGCCAAAGATGCCTGGTTTCCATCAAGAAGCCTCCGTTCGCAAGGCCGAGCAGGGCAGTCAGGGACGGGCGATCTGGGGTGGCTTCATTCACAGGGTCAGTGTAAGTTGGAGAGGACTTGATGGCCACGTCGCAACGGCCACGTCCGCCTTGCTGCTGTGAGTGCTGGATTATCCTTATCCTCTAGAGGAAGTCCTGCAAGAAATGAATGTTTGCTGCATGCAGAGTAGCAATTTGGCATCTAGATAAGAGGGCTGGTACTCTGAGCAATTTATTTACAGCGCATGCATGGGCAACCTTGAAGAAAATAAGTGTTTTTCTTTTAAAATGGAACGTCTCATTGTCTCTTAACTCACTCCCCTCCCACCCGCCCCCCCACTTTTGTCCCTTGCTGGGTCAAAAGGAGGGGCAGCAATTTGGCAATTTAAAAACTACTGTAAGCAGTGGATGGAAGAGGCTGATCGGCATCCCGAGCACCGTGCTCAAGATGCGCTTGCTCAAGGACGAAATCACAGGTTGGAACTGTGCTGGATTGGCTCCTGGCTGAAGCAGAAAGCACGACAAAATGCCTCTCAAAATGAATTTTAGCTGCTATGACAGTTTCTCAAAGGGCCTTCAACGTATCTCTTCCCAAACAGCCTTTCCCAAAAAGGTTTTCTTTATCTAGCTTCGTGATTTGGATGAGATCTTATTTATTGGAATCTTCATGGTATCATTAAGACGGATGATTCTAGAACGCTACAAGAATGTGTACCCATGTGATGTGTGCGTCTCTTGCTTTTCTGTGTGCTGCATGTAAAACACACGAGCCTGAAATGTAGCCTATAGAGCCACTGAATGAATAAACGAGATAAATCATCGTTCCTCACGCAGGATCTTAAGCCAGAAATGTTGCTAATGTTCCAGCCTGTGGGAAAAGTCATGCTGAGATTGTTTTTAAGGAAAAGTAATGTCCCCACCCATCCGCTGAGTCATTTAGGATGCTCACCACCCCTGCTTCTAGAACAAAATTTATTTTAGCTTGTTCAGGTGTTATGACTTTTTAGGTGTTATATATATTTAATCTTACTTTTTAGGGGGACTAGGCCAGCTTGGAGTAGGACTTGCAAAACTCCTGAGGTAAGCTATAACTGTTACTTCTATTCACAGTTAGGAGTTCTGGTGCATGTTTTAATAGATTTCCCATGGATTCCTACTTATACTTGCAGGCAAAGGGCACTAATGAGCCATGGCCTTATGCATAACAATAGATTCTGTGTCTCCCAGAAAAAAAGCGGGGGGGGGGGGGGGGGAGGTGAAGAACATGGAGTGAGAGTCTCTCTGGGTTGTTCTGAGAGAGTGAAGCCATTCCTAGTTAGCTTCTTCCTCTGGGGTGTGGGGAGAAATGGCAAGGTTATTTCACGGTGTAGAAACTTGGGGCGAAAAGTTGCATCTTGTAGCAGAATGGGTTCTGCTCGGGGAGTCCTGTACGAAGTAAAATAACTGTGGAAGAAATGTTCTGAGACTAACCATGCTGTCTCCTCTAGAAAACGCTTTGGGAAGAACAATGTCATCCTTTCTGATATTAGAAAGCCCCCCGATAACGTCTTTCACAGTGGTGAGTGACCAGACCATAATGACTGAAGCATCCCCTCCCTCCCTCCCTCCCTCCCACATGCCAGCGGCTCCAGGTGGTCCTTCTCTGTGAGGAAACATTCATTTTGCTAAATGCTGCAGTCGTTTGGGGGAAAGCCTTTCTCTGTATCCCTTGGAATAGGTGTGCTTCAGGCTGGGGAGCTGCCTCCTCCTCCCCGCCCCCCGTGTGTGGGGCACTGGGCATCCTTCAGGTGTGACTGGGTTGCACATTGCAGTGGAATGCCGTTGTCCCTGTGCTGCTTGCAGGAAGAGTGCAACCCTCTGGCCACCAGACAGCTTCCAGGTGGCTTTTTCAGGGCTGCGGCTACGAGGGCAGAAAATCCCTTGGACTGCAAAGCTCGCCCCTCTGCCTTGCACTGACGCCCTGCCCCTCACAGCTGGCCCAGCAGACGCGCTGGCTGCTTCTCCGAGATTGTAGGCGTGACCCTGGAGACTGAGCTGCCTTGGGGGTGGGGGGGGGGGACAGGCACTGCAAGGACCTGAGGCATCCTGGCAGCACCTTGGCCCCCTCCCCTCCAAGGAACCTCTGGCCGTCCCCCTGAGCGGCAGGGCAGGAGCACAGCGGCGACCTCTGCTGCTGCGCTCCTCCCGCCGCTCTGGGATGCCGTTCGCCCACGCTCACGGGGCGCCCGTGCTCGGAATCACGGAACAGAGGGCGGCGCTTTGGCCTTGGCTGTCCCGGGCGCCTGGTCTGCAGAGGTGGCCCCACGAGAGAGCGACCGGGGCCTCCCTGGCTGCAGCTACCCTGATGCGAGCAAAATGGTTTCCCCTTCCTGCCATTAGTAGCAGGGAAAAGGCATCCTTAAATGGGATCGGCCGGGGGGGGGGGGATTGACTTCGCCCCCCTCTGCTGCTCCTGAGGACAACCACAGATCTTCCACTGCCAACAGTGATCTGTCCCCCGCAATTGTCCATGGGGCCTCGTGCACCCCACCAAGTGCGGCCGAGGACTGTGGCCGACCCACGTGTGCCGAATGCGTCTGATTAAACAAGGCATCGCACTGCATTGCTTAATTCAGGGCACATGTGAGTCAGCACCTCGCCCTGGGAAGGCTGTGGCATGATGTGATGGGCAGCTGCCCCCGTGTGGAGGCCACAGAGTGGAACATGGCAGGAAAGATCATGCGCCCAGCCCTTGGCCGCCTTTGCTCGCGGGTTTTTGTAGTACGTCAATGGCATATACAGCTCCTGCTTGACAGGGAGGGACGGCAGGGTAAAAGGCCTAAGGGGTGCATGTCAGGGGGAACAGATGCTTCGGTCTTCCTCCTTCCTCTTAAAAGCTATTATCTGGGTCGAGGCGTCTCATGGCAGGGCTCACCTTTAATTCTGGCAGCCGGCAGGTGAGGAAGAGCCCACGCAACAGTCCCTTCATGCGGCTGCCGTGAAGAACCAGCCCCCCAGGTGCTTCGCATGCAGCACTGTCCAGGCCACGGATCCTCCGGTGCGTGTGCATAGCTGGAGTGAGCAGTCTGAGGTGTCTTCATGCAGAATGCCGATGGGTTGTTCTTCTCATACGCCGGACGCCCTGTTTAAATCTGACCTAAATGCGGTACCCTGGCAATATTCTCCGTAGGTTCAGAAGCAAGCCAGGCAAAGCAAAAAGCGCCACTTGAGTTCCTCCAGGTTGAAACCCCAAGAAAGCTACGTGCTTCCATACCAGAAGCACCGGCTCTGAGAGCTTTCTGCCTCGGAATAATCCAGAGCTTTCCAGAGAGGTGGAGATGTTCTTATCCTAAGTGATTCATTTTTTTTAAAATCCTGGCACGGTCTGTGGCAGAACTAGTTTTGCAGGTTTCCCAAGTGCGCGGGATAAGCTAATTAGTCCCATAAGCTAATTAGTCCCTGTCTGCACACCCTGTCTGGGGTGTGGCCCTCGTGGACATCTGTAAATGAGTGCGCATAATCCGTAGCACGGACAAGCGCACCGTGCTCACGGGCGTTTTGCACTGCTTTCTCATAGATTAGTCTGTAAGCGTAGGAAAGACACCTGTGCAGATGTCTGGGTGTTCTTTGTAGCCAATGTGGTGGTTAGCGAGGAAGGCGGGGACAGAAATTCCGAGTCAGCCGACACATCCCTGCCCGAAAGAAAGCTCCCGTCCTGGTGTATCGGCTCTTCGGACCTGTGCCTCACAGCCCCGTTTGATTCTCGCTTTCTCCTCCACAGGTCCCTTCATCTATTCGGACATCTTGGACTACAAGAACCTCCGTGAGATAGTGGTGAACAACCGGATTACGTGGCTGTTCCACTACAGCGCGTTGCTGAGCGCGGTGGGAGAAGCAAACGTCCCTCTGGCCAGATCTGTGAACATCACCGGTAGATGCCCGCTTCCTCAGGGTCCCTTGATCCGCTGTTCCTGCCTCCCCGGGAGAACCTGGCGTGTTCTGGTAACTGACAACTCTGTTTGCCGTTCCCAGGGCTGCACAACATTCTTGATATCGCCGCTGAGCACAGCCTGCGACTCTTTGTTCCCAGCACCATTGGGGCGTTCGGGCCCAGCTCCCCGAGGAACCCAACGCCTGACCTCTGCATCCAAAGGCCAAGGACGATCTACGGGGTCTCCAAAGTCCATGCCGAGCTCATGGGCGAGGTGAGAACTACCTTGCAGTGCTGTGCGTGGCTGAGCTCCAACAAGCAGCTTCCTCTTCTGTGAGCGCTCGTCCAGCTCAACTCTGCGGCCAGCTGAACAGAGAACTGCCATTTGAGTGTGGGTCAGCTGCACTGACCGTAAGCCCTCGACCTGTGCAGGGCAGGAGTGTTGGGGGGGATGATCTTTGCCTCCCCCTACTGGCACTCCACAGTTTTGCTAGATGGACTTCCTTGTCCATTTATTTATTTAAAATATTTCTACCCCATCCTATATGAAAATTGTCCCAGGACGGCTTACAAGAATTAGAACAATAAATAGACAAAGCAATACATAATAATAATAAATAACAACTTACATAATACCAACAAAATGCGACTGTAAATATTATTATTATTATTACATTTCTATGCCGCCCCTTGCCGAAGCCTTGGGGCGGCTTACAACACAATAAAATACATTGAAATACAATAGAACATAATAAATTACCACTAAATACAAAAATGCAAAAAATACACTGAGATACAAACATAATAATATAAAATTAAAACCAGTTAAAATTCCTTAATCGTTAAAATAGTGGGTTTTCACCTGGCGCCGGAAGAAATATAAAGTCAGCACCAGGCGAACCTCTCTGGGGAGCACATTCCACAGTCTAACATTTCATTTGAATTTAAAATGTAATAGCATTTAACAAAATCCTTCTGGAGAAGAACGGAAGAAGACTGGCGAGGCCGCAGAATAGGCCGTCTCCTGACCTCTCCCGTCCCCTCTGCTCCGCACCCACCAGGATCCTTCCTTTCCCGGCTTCCCTAACGTCACTTTCCCGGCCTTGGAGCAGCAACTGGTTCATGGCAGCTTCAGAGTGGAAGGGGGACAGATCATGGATCCCCCACTTTGAGGTTGGGGTGCCATCTTTGATTCTGGATTGGGCGTCTCCTGTGGCAGCTGTCCGGATGCTGCAGGATCGCTCCGTCACTGCGCATCTTTGAAAAGGGGATCTAACATGACTTCAACAAACCCCTTAAGCTTGTATCTGAATGATTTGTACCAACGGCATTATTTTCACCACGAGCCATATACTCATTGCCCACATGAAAATTTGCTGTCATTTGTTTCTCCAGAGGAATCTGAGCTGGCAGTATTCAATAATTTAAGCCTTTGCAGGAGTGTTTCTGTTAAGAGAGATTAAACAGTGAACTCCTTTGGCGCCTTAAATTACTAGCAGACTTATGAGGTTTCCCCAGCCCATAATATGTGCTAGGCTTGACATGGCTCCTCAGTTAGCTGTGAAGGTTCAAGACTTCTACATCAAAGCTAGTAAATATATAGCTTTTCTCATTCAAGTCCAGATAGTCGCTGGGATCCTGTATAACATTTTACAAAGCCGCTGACATCAGGGCAGTCTGAGAATTGCTGTCCAGGGCAAGCTGGGACCCAAATACATTTTTCTGACTAAACTTGCATGAGACTCCTACCCGAGTTACTAGAATCCTGATGCCACTACCAAAATACACACGACATTTGAAGGCTGCTGCCTGGCTCTGGATTTTTGTCCCACCAAATTGTGGGGGCTCCTGTCAGGGAGTCCAGGACCAGAGTAAAGGCTTCAAGTCCTGAGCAATCCTTCCTCAGGCTGTGTTAATGAATTTGCTTCATTGTCTTCTCCCTTAAATTCACCTGCTCCCCTAAGCCAGTATGGGATTGGCGAGAATGTTGGACTGGAACTCAGGAAACCAAGATTTTAGTCCGTCTTCAGCCATGGAGCCAACTGGATGACTTTGGACCAGTCCCTGACTCTCGGCCTAACCTCCCTCATAGAGTTGTTGTTGCTTTGAGGATAAAGTGGTGGAAGAAAGGTGTGAATTATATTTAATAGAACAAATAATTTCAGCTGTCACCATGCAGTACTGCATAAAAGCTTCATCTTAAAACTGCATCAATTTTACAGTTGGGTATCCTTTAAACAGGGCTCAAGCAGACAATATTCAAAAGAAGAAAATCTATTTCTCTTGGTATTCTTAGAATATATACTGCGTGAGATGGTTACCTACATTTCAGTGGTTAAATCTGTACTGTCACTTTAAGGAAGCTGTTGATCCCCTGAGTCCATTTCCCATTTCCTGGAATCAAACTCAAAAGTTAGTCACCTTTTCCTCTCTAAGGTGCTAAAGATTGAAGTCCTCCCTCTGGAGGTGGGCTCACTGGAAGGGAACCGGGCTTAGCAAGCTCTAAGCTGTCACTCATGATAGAACATTGACTTTTTGAGACGGATGCTCTTTCCCTGATAGCTCACTTCAGTTTCTCCTGAAGCCTTCCTCTGGCCCGGTACTTGCCGAAGCCAAAAACCACCTCGTCTGAATGCCGTTTCATTCAAGGCCACTGAGCAATGACCCTCAGTGGCTTCCGTACCAGCAACCTCACTGGCCATAACCCGAATCCTGTGAGAGCCAGCAGAGCGTGTGGACGCGCCCTAGCCGGGGCTGCTCTTGCGGCTCCTCCTCGTGCACCATCAGAATCTTTGTGGTGTTGAAAACCCACAGAGGAGACCCCGCATGCCGTCCGGCAGCTCTGCTGATGGTTTTCAAGGCGGCCTTTCCTTACAAAGCACAGCGCCTTGTTTCTGTTTTAACGGTCTTTCGCCCCCTGATTGTGCTCTGCCTCAGCTTTGATTCTCCACATGCAGCCAGAGTTGCTAATGAAGGGGTGGCATCTTTCTTCTCCCCCACCCTTTCTTTCAGTATTACCATTACAGGTATGGGCTGGACTTCCGGTGCCTGAGGTACCCTGGCATCATCTCGGCCGATTCCCAGCCTGGTGGGGGGACGACTGGTAAGTAGCCCACGCTGCATGACCTGGACCATTCCTTTCACCCCATAAAATACAAAGGGTGGTGCTGATGGGGAGAGTGGGGGCCGTGCTGAAGAGCATGGGTGCTCGGGGTGCGTTCTGTGGCTGAGTGGCCCCACGACAGGCGAACACGGGCGTTCTGGAGGTTGCGTTCCCAGGTGGCCATAAACGACCACCCTGCCTGCTTTCCGTGCTGCGCTGCCTTTGCCTGGCGGACAAGTGGTTTCCCCACAGGCGAGGCTCCCGCCTGCCTGGCTCAGTCCTCCTGCTGTGGGCACGTGTCCCATCAGCCACCACACCTGCAGTCTCAGGCCAGAGAGCTGGCGCAGGTCCTGCAGCAGCTGCTGCTCTTTCCTGGAGTTGCATAGCAAGACCATGGAAACTGTGATGCCAGGTTTGGATGACCAGACAAACCATGGCTAGGAGTGGAAATCATAGAAGAGACCTTTCTTTCTTACCATGGTTTCTAAAACCCAAATGCACCATTCTGAAATCCCATGATGGTTTGGATGATGTGACAGATGACCCTGCACGAAATCCACTTTGGCGTGTTCTGTCATGCGAATCGGGCCTTTTTCTGTGAGCTATGTTGAGTTAAACCTTGAATCTCCCCTTCTTTTCACCTTCTGTTAATACCTATGGCTGGCTGGCTTGCTTGCATTCAGTCATTTATTAAAAGCTTTTTTAGCCCATCCTATCACAAAAGGGTGTGTGATAGGGTGTGGAATGGGCTTCCACGGGAGGTGGTTGAGGCCCCATCGGTGCGGGTGTCCAAGGACAGGCTGGACGTGCACATGGTGGGCATGTCATGAGCGGAGCCGGCTGGTGCCGGGGGTCAGACTAGATGGCCCGGGAGACCCCTTCTGACTCGCTCTGTTTCTATGTTTCTAAAAGCCTCAGGACAGTAGTACAGTACGAAGCACAGCATCACATTCTCAAATAAAAACCCAATTAAAACGACAACTGGATCTCGATGTTGGGAAAATGAAAAGGCTTTCCCAGAAGTGGCCAACTTTCCAGCCAATATAATACAAACCGAGGAGAAGCGTGCGGAGGTGACAGTCTACTTTCTCTGATTACAGACTATGCCGTTCAGATCTTCCATGATGCCATAAAGACTGGGAAGTTCCAGTGCAACCTCAAGCCGGACACCCGCCTCCCCATGATGTACATCGACGACTGCCTGAGAGCAACGTTGGAGGTCATGGAGGCGCCAGCAGAGCGGCTGAGCATGAGAACTTACAACATCAGCGCCATGAGCTTTACTCCCGATGAGCTGGTTCGGGAGGTCCAGAAGCATGTTCCCGAGCTCGAAGTGGTCTACAGTGTGGATACTGTCAGACAAGCCATTGGTGAGTCCCCGGCTTAGGGGGGCGGTTTTCCTGCTTTCTATGATTTCATCCCGTATTTGGACTGAATTAGATTAAAAAAAAGCACTGAATCCATTCTCCTCCTCGTTGCTTTGAATATGAAGGGTACAGATAAGAGGAAGGGCTTCGGATGTGTCCCTTTCTTAGTTGACAAGTGAGAGGAGAGCATCCGTTAGGCTACGCCTGAAACATAATCCCAGCTAGAGAGCTGCTACAAACGAATGCTTATGGAAAACCCGATCGGGCATAAGAATGTAAGAGGAGCCATGCTGGATTGAAAGTTCTTCTTTCAGTGCAGTGGGTGGGGAAAGAATGTTATATCTCCCCACCCTCCCGGAGGCTTTGCTGTTTGAAAACTGCCCCTTCCTTGAAGCACCTGCTTTTTAAAAAGTGGGTTAGGGCAGGAAAGTAGGAATGCATTTGAAACATAAATATCTGGTCACAGGAAACTCGCTTAAGACAATGCGCGTGTTTGTCTCTGTTGCTGCCGCAGCCGACAGCTGGCCCATGATTTTCGACGACAGCAACGCACGCCAAGACTGGGGATGGAAGCACGATTATGACCTCCCGGAACTGGTGAACACGATGTTCAACTTCCTGGGCTCTGTCCGCTCCAGGGTTGCCCAGGTCAACTGACTTTCCTCATCGGTTCCGTCTGGAGCTGACGGGACCTGTCCAAAGCTTCTGAAAGTTCTGCGTCATCTTCAGAGTCCTGCAGCATTGCAGCATTGGTGATGCTGTCCGCGGTCTTCTGGGGCATCTTCTTCATGTCTTGCTTCACCTGTATTTCTGTTTGACCAACCAGCCGAATGCTATCACACGTGTACCCAGAATAAGTTTAAAGGCACTTCTGGAAGCTCTCTGGCTACAAGAAACCACTCTCCTTGCACATGTTACAGCTTGTTTTACCCGAACGCCAGTCCCGTTATGTGGGTTACAGCCTCTTATGACTTGTATGTTGCAAAGTTTTAGCCAGTGACAGGGGGAGAAAGAGAGGTGGGCCCCATTCCTGAATTTTCTGGGCTAACTAGAATAGAAGCTCTGGGGAAGGGGCATTAAGGCAACCGCCTGCAGTGGGAAGAATTGTTGCTTAACCCTTCTTCCATCTACCGTTTCTCCCTTACATTTGTCCTTGGGCATTTGAGGGACACACGAGGGTTGGATGCTCTGCATTTCTGTTGAGACATCTCGTTCCATCCTTAACGAGCGCTGAAAATTATTTAAAAAGTCGGCTCTTGCCTATGGCTAGAAAATGGATAGAACTTCCAGTTTGATGCACAATCCCCCACCGCCATCAGTTACTTGCAGTCTCTGAATCCCCCAGGGCCCTCCAAATTTGGCTGATAATATAAAACTCTTTCAGCAAGAAAAAGAATCGGGACATTTACATCTAGCCTCATTTGGATTCACATGATGTCACTCAGTTCAGGGAGGCAGGATCCCCGACGCTCCTGCAGTGCCCAACTTAACTTTGCTGGATTCGGCCGCAGGAATTTTCCTGTTTCCTAAGATAACACTGTGCGTGTTGCCATCGGGAATGTGATCTGCAGCACCAGAGAAGCAAGCATTCTTGGCTGCTCAGATCGTCTCGATCCGATTGCTCTGGCTTGGGGCTGAACCTCCCTTGGCAACTCTCCAGGCGTCTTTTCGTGCCATCCGTGGTGGTACCTTGGGGGGTGTGGGGGGGTGTGTAGGGTTCAGGGGCCTGAGCAAATACTTGCGCTCCATTTCTATCCATCCTCTCATGAGGAATGAAATGGAGTTGCAGGTGGCACTGGTCCATCCAGTCATGAAATCGTTGCACTGTTCCGCTTTCCTGTTCGAGAGAAACTAGGGAGGCTGTCCGGAAAGGTTCAAGCAGGTGCAACAGCCAGGAAGAGCCATCGCTTCCATGGGGCCTTTTGGCAGGCACCTGCCCAGCTGCCCCAGGGCGCAGGTGCTGGTCTACGTGGCCCCCTCGACCCAGCCCAGGAGGGCTTGCAGGTTGAGCAGCTCCATCGGCCCTTGATGGCACCTGATGGTCTTTGCAGCCTCTGCCCTCCCCGCCTTTCACCTTTTCTGAGGGGACACGGTGTACATCCTTATTTATCCATTTTGTTTGATAGACTGCACTTCCATCTTGGAAACATAAGTTGAAATAGCGGATGGGTGCTGGCCACCATAACTCCTGTTCTGGGAGAGAGTTTGCACTTTGGCCACTGCTGTAGCCCCCAAGAAGTTCAAATGATAACTTGGCTCAGCAAGGCTACAAAGTTAGCTGATGTCGGCTCTACTTAGAGTAGAGCCATTGAGATGAATGTGGCTTAAATTCGACTAAGATTGAGGCAAGCCCTTTTTCCGTCATGAACACTTTCAGGGCCTCTCCAGTGCCACTTGGGTCACTCCTGTTGCTTAAAAATGAAAATGTCTGTTGTTTTCTTTGTTAATCTTAACTGTGCTGGTTGAGCAATGCAATTTCAAAAGGGCTTTTATGATGCAGGGAGAAAATCTCTGTGGTATCAGGCTTGCTGGAAAAAAAAAGGGTTTGGGCTGTATGTTTAGTTACCCTTCAAGAGAGTATTCTCTCAGGTTTTTGTTCCCTCTCTCCAGTCTAACCAAATACTGTTTACTGACTTGGGAGTAAACCCATTGGACTGTTACCTGCCCTCTGCTCTGAGTTCGGTGGGACTCGGTTCATAAGATTGAAACTCTGCAGCCTCAACTGGCTTGCCAATGTCATATTGTTCAAACAGGAGTAGATGTTTTCCTTTTGGATGAAAGTAAGTTCCAACTTGGACTACTGTTATCTGTTAGGTTACTTGAACAAAGAGATTTATAAGGGTTTTGTTTTCTTCTCCCCGTCCCCCAAACTGTAAGTCATCAGTAATGACTTTTTAAATTAAATCCTAAATGCAAAAGCTTTTCTGGTGGTCTTGTTTCTCTGCCGTGGCCTTTCTCCCCTGTGCTGTTTAAGATCTCGGTGAAACTGCTGAGTGGGATCTTTGCTTCGGGGTCTGTTGTCGTCAGGGTGGAGCAGGCACGCAGCTCTGCTTCTCCTTTTCATTATCATCGGATGCCTGGCTGTGATTACCGACCAGGTGAGATCTAACAAATAAGCTCCTCCCAGGCAAGACCAAGGTGCTCTTGGATCATTCCTCTGATCGGATAGAGGATGCCCACCTGTTCGGATGCCTCGCGGTCCCCCTGAAGGAGCAGGTTTGCAGCTGGGGGATGCTCCTGAGCCATCTTCATCCCTGGAGGCTCGGGGCCTCGGTGCCCTCTGCCAGCTTTTGCTGGTGGCCCAGCTGCAACCTTATCTGCACAGGGGCACCCTGGCGTCAGTGATCCTGCTCCGGCAGTCTCGATGCTACCGCAAGACACTCAGCGTGGTCTGGAAGGACTGCAGCTCCCGCAGGGTGTGGTAGCCAGATCACTAACCAGGGATCTGCGGGCCTGAAACGTAAGACCAGCTCTGGCCGGCGCGTATTGGCTTCCGAGCCCAGTGGAAAGCGCTGGTTTTAACCTATAAAGCTCCACCTGGGCTTGGGACCACAATGCCTATCGGGGTAGCTCTCCCAACTGCAACTCCCTCAGCCTCTGGGGCCTTCCTCTGAGGGGGGCTAGGAGGGTGGCAACGGGGAGGGCTTCCTCTGTGGTGGGCCCCGTCCATGGAACAAGCCCCCCACTGCAGCCTGGCACCAACTTGTCATCTTTTTGGCAACAGGTCAAGGCTTGGCTCTACAGCAAGGCTTTAAAATTTTTGCTTGGCCACCCCAGCGCTTGATGGGATCCTTTATTGGATGTTTTTAGCTGTTTCACATCGTTTAATACTTTGATTTTGCGGTGTTTCTGTGTTGTTGCAGGGTTGTCACGGATTGTTGTCGGATCGTTGAGCTTCAGCTCTAGGGTGGTATCAAAATAAATTCTCTAAATAGGAATAATGGTGAGAGTCGCAGGGCAGCCGTGTTGCGGGGGGGTGCTCTGCCCTGCCATACGAGTGCTGAGCTACCCTGGGCTGTGCGTGATGAAGGCGGAACATGAGCCTTTGCCCCTTTGTGTGGTTCTGCGGGCCACAAGAGCCCCCCCATGCTCCGAGTGCCTCAAGAGGCTGCCCATGCTCCAGCCTTGCTTTCCATATTGGAGAACCCGCCCCATGCGCAAGTTGCCCCCACCCATCAAACATAAGAACATCGAAGTCCAGAGTGCAGAACCAGAGGCCTGTGGTCTTAAGACTCGGTAGTTCCTCAGCCCGCCCGCCCACTCTCCCCTGACCCATCCAGCCCTCTTTCGAATGTCTGGGAAACCACGCAAAAAACTTTAGCTGGGGAAAAGCAGGTGAGGCCAAGAGAAGGTGGTCTGGAAGAACCAGGAGGAGTTAGATCGGACCCACAAGCTCGTCCCTTGCTGGACCCTTGGATTCAGAAACCAGTGGCAAGGCCGAATCCCTGTTTCGGGGTTACTGTGCAATCGCATGGGGGAGGCCTGGATTCGACAACCGCCCCCCGCCCCACAGGCCTTTCGAAATAGCCCAGCATGAGGTGGTGCCTGGACGGACAGCTCAGCACTCCAAAGAGCAGCTCAGGTGTGGATCTGGCATCCCTGTGGTGGAAAAATGCTTCCGAGAGCATCATTGCTCATTCAGGGAACAGTGGGAAGGGTAGTCTGGGAACGGCGGCCGGCAGAAGGAAGGCAATGGGGAAAACGCAGGCTGCATCACCGGCCCCGATCGGCACATTCCATCTGTGCAGAAAGGTGACCCTGTCCGGCAGGAAGCCTCTGCCCAGCGGCTGCCCCCCTTCCCACGCCCAGAGGGAAACGGACCGCGCCTGGCACGGGGCCCCCAAGCCCGGAGAGGGGAACCGCTGCCCGAAGCCGTTTGCAGGAGGGCTGTTCTCCATGCTTTTGCTCACGGGCATTGCAGCCCTCTCGCCTTCCGCAGCAAGATTTGGGAGAGCAGGTGCCTCTGCACGGGCATTCCTGCTGCTTCAATCTCTCTCTGCCCGCTCTGT